GACTAAACAACAAACAACAACGTTTGGGCATTTACAGAAGATATATCCTTGTGCCGAGTAATGTGACAAGAGAGTAGGTTTTTCTGCTCCTCCTCCAGAGGTCCATTTATTTTTAAGGTGGATGTGTTATGAATCAATCTCTTCTGTCAATGAAAATTACTCCTCACTTCTATGTTGCTGTGCTAGTTCTGTGTGCATGCCTGCTGGGTCTCTCCTCTGCTGAAGAGGGAGGAGTGGTGTGTAGGAGGAAAGTTCTTTGTCAGCCACTGAGGCTTCACCTTGGCAGAGATAGAGTCATTCAATCCCATTCGTGATTGTGGGAGTGAGGGGAGAAGAAGGGAAGAGGGAGGACAAGAAGGAAGAGGGGATTTCATTATTTCATATGATTTTTCTGGGGATCCTCTCCGAACTAGCATTAAATCATAGATCCCATCTGTGCCCATAGACTACCAATTCAAGGCATGCCTGGGACCCATGATTTTGTGGTTTGGGGTGATCTTTCATTAAAAAATTATGGGGATACTTGGAGAGAGAGTTTTTCCAGGAATTGGAGCCAAAGGGAAGAGTTGTCCCTCCCCCCCTTGCTCTCTAGGGGGAAGTTTTGAGTTTCCTACATCTGGGGGAAGAAACCACCCTCAAGCCTCCCTCGACATAGCTCTAAATTTCTCTCTCCTCCTCTATGTGTGTATACGAGTGCATGTGTTTGTGTGTGTGTTTGTGTCTGTACATGTGCATGCATGCATGCGTTTGTACATGTATGTATGCATCTGCCTGATCCTCGGGCAATGAGCTGTCTGTGTCTGTGTGTATTTCCCTGCCCACGTAAAATGCAACATTTAAAAATTGATGCAAGTGAATGGAAACAACAAATTAAGTATCTTCGTGAAGGCTTTCGCGGCCGGGATCTAATGGTTGTTCTGGGTTTTTCAGGCTCTTTGGCCGTGTTCTGAAGGTTGTTCTTCCTGACGTTTTGCCAGTCTCTGTGGCCGGCATCTTCAGAGGACAGCAACCTGTGTTGGCTTGGGAGTGCACTCCCAAACCAACTACACCAGAGCACAGGTTCATGTGACTTGCAGTCCAGCAACATCCATTAGATTTCACTTCCCAACCTCTGCACAAAGAGGAGATATTTTTGAAAGAGACTGTCCTTTAAACCGTAGAGGGAGGGAGAGAAAGATTGACCTAAATGAACACAGCATGGGGAAAAGGAAATAATCTTGCTCTGTAAACTAGAATCTTGCTCTGGATGATTTCCTCCTACCACCATAAGGAAGAATCTTAAAAAGTGCTTTGTCAAATGAAGGCATAGGAAAAACTCTGTTAGAAATATAAAACTTATTTCACCATCAGTTAAATAAGGTTTGACACTGGAATAGTACACTGGAATAGTACAACTTCAAAAATACTTACATATACACTTTAAATATGGTAACCAGCCATATTTGGTACATTCAGAAGAGTTATTGCGATGTTCGAGTGTATATCCTGGATAACATGAGGCATAGATCATATCCCCAAGCTTGTACTGAGTTTGTACAGGGAGGAAGCTACCATTGTCTATTTGTGGGGTGGTACATAGAACTTATAATAAGAAACAGATATGAAAACATTATTAGTGCAAATAATGTTACCTTCAATACACTTCAGTAATAATACAGTATCACCAAGCTTGTTGCTTTTAAAACAATGTGCTTTTTCTTTAACACGGGGTAAAGTTTATCCCAGTCTACAGTTTCCAAAGAAGTACAGTAGTCTTATTAGTCTGTTTCAGCATGTTTGCAAAATAAAGTGGGTGGGGAGAATGGGGGAAAGAAAAAGATAACATATTGCAGCTAAAGAATTTAATGTTGCCAATAGCCAATCTATATCCACTATCATCCTACACCAGGGGTGTCCAACCTTTCACCTTCCTTGGGCCACATTAGAAGATGAAAATTTGGTTTAGACCACATATACATTTGGTTTGAGCCGCATGGGGGAGCAGCCCTAGCCATCCTCCGCAGCCTCGCTCCAAGTGCGCTTAGCGGCAGCTGCGATCTCAGACAGCATAGGTTTCCAGCTTTGACTCCAGCAGCTTTATGGGGCTGGGAAGGGGTCCACCTATTGACGGGGATGGCGCAATGCAGTCACAGAGTCCCCCTGTCCCCTCCCCTCCCACTCCTTCCTTCCCTCCCTCTCTCTCCCTCTAGTGTTGTGACATGCCCCAGCCACATTCCGGCCGCAAGCGCCGGCAGTGTACAGTGGTGCTCCGCATAGCAACAATAATCCATTCCGATAAAATCATCGCTACACGGATTTGTCACTATGCGGGGCAAAAACGCCCATAGGAACGCATTGAAACCCATTCAATGCGTTCCTATGGGCAAAAAACTCACTGTTCTGCGGAAATCCTCCATGCGGCCGCCATTTTCGCTACGGGCGGCCATATTTTTTCCATTTTTCCATTTTCCATTTTTTCCATTTTGGAACCACCGGCCATTTTGGAACCACCGATCAGCGGAAAACACTACGGGCGGCCATATTTTTCCGGCAGCCATTTTGGAACCACCGATCAGCTGTTTTTAAAATATCGTTATGTGATAATCGGTAAGTGAAACGCTTACCGGTCATCGCAAAGCGATGTTTTGCCATTAGAAACATCGCAATGCAAATTCACTATGCGAATTCATCGTTAAGCAAATCACTCGTTATGCAGGGCACCACTGTATCTTGAAACTTTGGAATTTCTTTTAAAATAAAAAATTGCACTGGGCTGCATTATGAACTGACCTGGGCCACATGCGGCCCTCCGGCCGTGGGTTGGACAAACCTGTCCTACACAGAAAGCTGGCTTGTAGGTTTAGAAAATGATGAATCTGTACAAGGCTCCAGAGTCTTGAAGGGATTCTAAGGTACAGGCAAGAAACAAGACACCCTCAACCAGAGAAGGAAATATGGATATTCTTTATGTCAATTAACTGTTCTCTGTGTTTGATATCTTGAAATTTTGTAGAGTAGAGGGACCCCTTTTCATACTTCTCTAAGATCCAAATTGTCTTAATCTGGCATTGTCATCACACACTTAAGCTGAAAACACATTATGCTGAAGAATCTGTAATCAGATCTTTTACTATTCCTTTTATCAAAAATGAAATGCATTCCTAACTTTACTGGAGCACCAATACTCCCTGAGGATCTGTTTAAGGTTCCCACATACTTATTGTACCCTTTGGCCTTTATATCCCAGTGATATCCCAACTCTGCTGTAAACATGATGGCAACCAGTGACTTCACCCAGGAGTGAGAAACTACTTTGCCATCAGCCCCATTGAGCATTGCTGGTAATGGATTATGGGAATTGTAATTCAAAATATCCAGGGAGCAAAAGATTCATTAACCCTGCTCTAACCAAACTTTTGCCGGGACAGTATTTATACTTGATACTCTTCATTATAATGACTTCCTTGTTATAGAAATGTGCAACAGAAGGCACTCTGTACTCTGCAGAAGCTGTACTCAGTAGAGAGTACAGCTTGGGGAGAGTGTATCGGGTCCCTGGAGTCTCAATTGTGGGGTTCCACAAGGATCAATTATCTCCCCAAGGCTGTTTAATATCTACATGAGGCCACTAGGTCAAGTCATTAGGGGATGTGGAACTTCATGTTTTCAGTACGCTAATGACACCCAGCTCAACATCTCCTTTTTTCCCAACAACAGCGGATGCCGTTTTGTCCCTTCAGTGCTGCCTGGAGGCCATATTGCAATGAATACAGGTGAATGGACTGAGGCTGAACCCGGACAAGACGGAAGTCCTGAGGGTGGGTGGCCCCGCCATTGGTGGTTTGGGAAAATCCCTCCCTTTTGGGAGAGTGACTCTCACCATGAAGAGTGAGGTTCACAGCTTGGGCGTCCATCTGGATCTGCCACTCACCATGGAAACGAAGGTAGTGTCAGTGGTTCACACAGCCTATTTCCATCTGCAGCGGATTGCCCAGCTGCTGCCCCTATTTTGATGTTGGGGCGGTCACCTCTCTGGTCCATGTGCTCGTAATCTCGAGATTAGACCACTGTAATGTGCTCTACATGGGGCTACCTTTGAGATTGATGCAGAAGCTTCAAATGGTGCAGAACATGGTGGCCAGACTTCTCATTGAGGTGAAAAAACATCAGCATAACTCCCCTATTCTGGCTACCCTACAGTGGCTGCTCATTCACTTCCACATTGATTTCAAAGTATTAATTATCACATATAAAGCCCTAAATGGTTTAGAGCCTCAATATCTAGAGCAGGCTTGTCCAACCTGCGGCCCGAGGGCCGCATGCGGCCCAGGTCAGCTCGCAATGCGGCCCAGTGCAATTTTTTATTTTTAAAGAAATTCCCAAGTTTCAAGTTACACTGCCGGCACTTGCGGCCGGAATGTGGCTGGGGTATGATGATAATATATGATACTAGCTATCATTTTCTATGGGTACCTTCTGCAGGGGGGTTCCATGCTAGTGGTAGTGGCGTCTCCAAAGACATATCTCCTGTTATGGACATCTCTGAGCCGGTCTCTAGAATGACAGATGTTATATCAACAACAGGGATAAGTCCTGCCCACCAGTAATCACTATGAGATATTACCATCAGGTACTATGGAGGATCTTCGCTTTACAATGAGGTATTTTGCCCATTAGAATGCATTAGCCGGTTTCTAATGCATTCTTATGGGCTTTTTAATTTCGCTTGACAAGGATTTTGCTTAACAGCGATTTCAACGGCACGGATTATCCTTGTCAAGTGAGACACCACTGTATTGTTAAATCTGAAAGCTTGTATTCCATCTGACCACTGAAAAAACAATAAAATCTGGACATTCTCTTCAGCTCAACCAACCATCTCTTGCACGGAAGGGCAAATTAAGCTGTAGATTTTTTTTAAAGAAAGGAAATATCCTGATTAACATTATAATAATTGAAATAAACATGTTTTGATTTTTTTTTCAACTACTCCTAATTCTATAACCAGACTAAATGCAGTTACAGGATTCCATGACTGGGAACCCTGATAGTGGTACATCGTGACATTTGATAGCAGGAGTTACAAGCATAACTACAATCACATCTACACTTTAGTCCTAAGTGGGAACAGGTGAACACCTGCATGAGGCTGCTTTCCCCATTTGAAACAGTAGGGTTCGTTATCAGGTTGATAAAAAAGATGACTTCTGATAAAATCACAGGAACACACATGCTCCACCATTTCCTCCCTTCCTTCTAAGCCCCCTCCACATCCCACTCAGCAGAGTCCCTTGACACATGAGAGAGCATTTGAGGGAAGCCTTTGAGGGTTCCAAGGAAGAGGAATGGTAGGAAAATCACCTCTGCCAGCTCTGGTACATGAGTGGATCTGGGAATGCCTAACTTGCTGCTTGTTCTTTGAATCACACTGACTTCCAGTTGTGTTGAAGAGCAAGCACTGATTAATACTGAGCACTTCACTTAAAAGGCAGATCGCTGAGTGCCTGCTAGCATTTTGTATGCAGAGACAGAAAAAGGCCATTCATTTTACATCCTACCTGTGATCACTGCACCAACCTGGTTCTCTCAGTCTGCAATAGCTACCTTGGGATTTATGTCTAACCACAGATCCAGTACAATATGTAGCTAGACTTTAAGGCAGGAATCGCATGTCATTTTTCTTTCTTCCTCCACTTGAAACTAAGATTTGCAATAGCCAGTCCGACAAAGAGTTCTTACAAAATCAAAAGCATGTCTGTTTTGTGACTTATTACTGGCTGTAATACAGATATCATCCATCTCTGATTCTTGATAAAGGAAAACTTTGTTCTGCAGAATTAGATCCATAATCTCAAGATATCAGTAGAACAGTTCAAACACTCAGAAAACAAACATGCTATTCAATGAACGTGAATTAACATTAACAGTACATTTACCAGCAGAAGTACAGGTTGGCAAAGTTAAGTGCCCGTCGGCACACTTTCGGACTGTTGGAGAGATGATAATATAGCCTTTCTGGCACATGAATTCCAGTGTATGGCCATTCCTGATCAATGCTGAATGTCTTTGTCCCCCACGCAAAAGCAGGTTTTTCTCATCCAGTCGTTCTTTTGTGATATTGCAGGGTGCTGAAAGAAAAGGAGAAAAGGGCAGGGGCTGTCTCTGGGATGGTTTTCTTGTCAATAACCTTTATTTTGCTAGGCTGGACTTCAGGTTGTCTGTAATATAGTTTGAATCTCTGGGAGTGGGGGAATGTGCATCTCTTCATTTATCTGAATGCCCTTAATATTTTACTTGGGGCATGTGAAACATTTTCGGCACATTTTTGTGTATGATCTGTGAATGTCAAGTATCTGATAACAAGCTTGTGCTGAACAGATACCATGTTGAAAATCCACATATTAACCCAGATTTGGCTATTCAGTAGAAAGTATCCAAAAAATGGGATACGTCAAGGCCAAGAGTAATCTTAGGCAGCGTATTATTGAGACAGAAAGGCAACAGGACCTTGGTATTATCAGAAATAGGTTTACCGTTGACAATGCATTGCTCCCACTGAAACCGGCAAAATATCTCTACTTACCCTTAGCACTTATACAACGCAAAGCTCTTACTCTGGCCCACTTCGATGCACTTCCGTTAGCAGTCCAGGAAGGGAAGTATAACACCACCCCTTACACTAAGCGTTTATGCCCCTGTAACTCTGGTGAGATTGAATCTATCTCCCATGTGTTACTTCCCTGTGCTTTTTACTCTGACGTTCGAGAAGGCCATGTTGACCCTTACATAAGGGCATTTCCTGGACGATCAGAGGCACACTACACACAGCTTTTGCTGACAGGGCGATGCCCTGGCAGATATATTGGGCTGCTGCTGCAATTAAAATCTGTGAAGGAAAGATTCCACCTAAAGCTCAGCTATACAATCTGTAAATTGGTGTATACCAGTTTGGTATAATGATCACACGGGCTCTACAAGCTTCAAAGTAATAATTTTGGCATTCTATGCAAGCTGTAATAGCCCATAGATAAGACCTATGATAGGGAGGTAGGAGATATTTAAACAGAGTGGCAGAAGGCTGTTGAAGAAGAGAGTCATATGTACACCACACAACCTGTTCCTGGAGTAGCATATTGCCATCAACTGAAGAAGATGCAGGATGAATTGACATACCATTCATCTTAGACTACAGTAGGAACCCTGTATCTGCAAAATCAGTATCTGCTGATTCACTTGTCCACGGTCTGAAAATATTAAATGAAAAATCCTAGAAATATATATTTTTAAAGATGAAGTTACCAGAACTAGCCACTAGAGAGACCCAGAGACCGTGCTATGTATAGCAGTATTAAAATAGTGTTTGCTATAATCTGCATTTTTCAGCATCCACATGGAATGGCTTGGAATCAATTCCACATGGGGCCCTACTGTATTTAGCTTTTGCTAGTGGGATAGGTCTGTTTCATTCTTTGCCTCTGATAGGAAGTCATCATAGGGCAACACTACAGGGACAGTCATATTTTTCCTGTGCACAGCTTGTTGGTATTGATAGTTTTTTTTTAAAAGGACTATGATCATCTTAGAAAAACAAACTCTAGTAAAATGCAGGCCTCTTTTGTTGTCAGAGAAATGTACCACAATGGGTTACTGATTAAATAGATTTTGCCATAGGCTACATCTGGTTAGAGTTTCATGTTTTCAAACCATCATTTACACAATGCTTGTAGGGTGCAATCCTGCCCGCCCCCTTACTCTCTGGTTACTATGACCAAGGAATGATGTCCACAAAACTCAGTGGAGCTTATTCCACAATATACAGGGAAGACACTGCATTGTGTAGACTGCAGTCCAGTGCATGCCTTTCTGAAAGGCAGCTGGGATGTTTAATCTTGGTAAAGCTTTGTAGGATTGCTCTGCACATACCAATGTGTATGACAAGGATTCATTTATTCAGTAACCCTGTTCAATAAGCCGCTATTTTACTTCAATTTTTAGAGAAGGAATTGTGATTCCTCATCCCCCTGTAGATACCCTCATAACACAGATCACACAGAATTCCTTATACATTGACTGCTCAGTTATTAAGTTTGACTATGTGTTCAGACAAGCAGCCACATACCTACATTACTTAAAAGATTCCGCCTACTTACCCCAGCACTTTGGCTGAGGGGTCCAGTCTTCAACTGTACAAGTTATCCAATCAGATCCTTCCAAATCATACCCAGGATTGCACGCATATTGTATTCTGTCAAGTTCCATGTACTCCATTTTTATATTCCTCACAATATCGCCAAAATCAATTTCAGGGGGTCTGCACACTGAAATTACATTTAGAATTGGAATACTCAGCAGTCAATTAGTGGCTTCCTTCTCAAGAAGGAAGTGGCCTGTGTTAAACAGATGTCAAAGAAACTTCTGTACCAAACCTTTGAATATGCATCTCATTTCAGAGAGCCAAGAGGAATATAAGTACTTTTAAAAAAATCATTAAATAAATAAATACTGACACTATCTATTCATGATTTTACAGGAGTGATTTGTGGTTCTTTTGGGTAATGAAACACAATTGCCACGTTTACAGTTAGGGAATATGTGAAGATAAACTAGTAACGGTGAAATCTGTCTTTTGGGGTTCTCTTCCATTCAACTTTCTGTAAACTCCAGTTATTTCCATGTCAAATATGAAGAAATTTGCAAATTTTGGCAAATTCTTCAAAACCAAACTGAAATGAAATGTTAACTCACCCCCAAAACAGCCATTCTCAGCCTTTCTCAGGCCACAACCCTTTGAGGAGATCTTCTTGGATTCTTAGGCTCTGGACCTCCTTGTCAAACAAGTATACAACATGAACAGCTTAATGAATTTTTTGGTCTGTGGCTCTCTTCAAATGTGACAGGGCACCCCAGGGGGACAGACAGCCCCTGATGACTATGGCTCCTCTAGAGTAACCACATTTACTAAAAACAGGAAAAGGCTGTATGGTCGTGGAAACAATAGAAATGCAGGAGCAGAGGATGCCTTTAATCGACCATTAAGAATATAAAGCAAAGAAACAAAAAACAAACAGAGAGCTTTCGATGATAAATCATCCTCTTAAAGACTGTGCATCAAATTCTTGTGGGTAGTTCCAAGCTTATGGAGAGATTGTCAATTCTGGATTTTTTATAGGAATGCATGACAGGAAATATATATACAATTTGAAGAGAATGCCCTCAAACTTTGGAAAATCCTTTTTAAAAAGTGTTTCAGGGAGGTGCCTAAGAGAAAGAGTAGTTTTTAAAACCAGCTACAGCTGGAGATATAAATTTATATTGCAAAACTATTTTTATATTACAACATTATTTCGTGACTGAGTGCACAGGAATTCCAAGACTGACTTTTAAAAATATTCAAATCTCTCACTTTGAATGGAAGAAATTATCAGCTTTCTTTCTCCCCCCCCCCCATATTTCCAATGTTTAAATCTGAAGCTACTTCATATTAGCAGTAAACTTTGAGTGTCTACCATTATGTAGCTGTAAGAGTGCCATTGATGCATGAGATGCAGTTTTGACTTGGGGGAGGGGGAAGCTTACGTATCTAAAAGTACAAATAAAAAAACCAAAAACCCCACAAATCAAGAATTTTCAGGATGATATTTGCAATAGTGGGACTGAAAAAAACTAAATGGGGACTGAACTTGCTCAGCAAATATAGAATGATAACTAACTGTTTGTGGGGGCAAAGAGGGATGCCATATGAAATCAAATGGCTGAAAACCAAAATTCTACACTACACTGCAACATTGTGAGGCAGGTCACATCTCTTCACAGAGTGTGGCTAATATGTTTCTGGTTGAATAGCCTTTCATAATTGCCTCATTCAGTTTTTCTTCTTATGGGGGGGGTCTTTAATTGCCAATTTTTCTTCCTCTAGTTACTCTCTCCTTTCCCCCACTCTGTTATAAAAATTGAAAGAAGAAAAGAAAGGGGAAGCCAATAAAGAAAGGGGAGAACTTCTTTGTTATGCTCACTTGCTCAACAGTCCTTTGTACAAGCAGCTGGAGCTTCCCCAAGTTTGTGCAAAGAGGTATTCATTACCTCCTTGGTCAAGAATAAGCCCCATTTGTTTAAAGATGGCATTCTCTTATACATGAAAATGCAAGCCCAGAATTACATAGATATGACAATAGTGGGGCATCATGTTCCTTGACTCCCAACAGGATTATGGCCCAAGATTATAAATTGACTCGCATGCCCATGTACACAAACATCCAAATAAATAAGCAGTAAAATGCAGTAAAACACACACATGCTACACATACACACACATACTACACACGCATGCACACACACACATACTACACACACACATAACATATGTGTTGTATAACTGATATAAATGTATTTGATCAATAAATCAATAAATGGATAGATATATTAAATAGCATGATATGTCATTCACTAAGTATAGTACTACCTATTAAAAAACTCAGGAACTTTTTCTTTAACATAACAAAAACTCTTAAGAGAGTAATGGCAATCCCATCTCATAACAGGAATAATTCATGGAGTAGACACCAGAAGTTCACTGCCCATGTGGAATAAAACTCATTCCAGCTTCAGTTCTACCATAATTCTGTAACAAATACAACAGCTGCCATTTACCTTGCTTTAAAAAATGCATTTCATCTCAATGACTTACAATTTTGGGAAGTACAGAACGTCCCTAGAAGAAATGGAACAATACAGACCAGCCAGCTTTTCATTGTGCTTCAGGCAGCTTAACAATTGTTCTGTGGAAGCATTCAGTTTCACACTCAGCCTGTACTTTCAGTTACTGCTTTCCCTTCTCAATGTAGAAATCATTGTTCTTCAGTTGCATCAATTTTTTCCAACCCCTATGCTTACATTCCTTTTTCTCACCCATAGTCTGTGCACTGCCTTTGGTATAGCAGCTGTGAAGAGAAAATCATTATTACAATTAGGCCCTTGGACAATAAAACCCAATTAAGATCATTTGAATGTGGCTGGTTTTTGAAAAATTTGGTAACAAGATTGAAAGCAGAAGACAGGTAGTCTTTTAGCCCTTCAGATATTTTGAAGTATGGTTCTCATAATCCCTTAACCACTGGTCATGTTGGTCGAGACTTCTGATAGCCAATGTTAAACCATCCAGGAGGTCAAAAGTTTCACTCCTCTGGTTAAATTATGCTTATTCATTGAACAAAAATTGTTTTGAGTGATTGTATGTTCAGTGCATGTTCTAGTACTAAGTAGGAGACAGAGTTGCAATTCAGTGCTAAAATCCATACATTATTACAAGCTGCAGGCTTAGTCCATGGCACCTCCAATTACTGGTGAGAAAGGCCCATTGTTTGAAATTCTGGAGAGCTACTGCCTTTTCGTATCCATTGCGGCCTTCCAGATGTTTTTTGTCTATAATCTTCATCATCCCTGACCAATGTTCCTTGAGGGGGGGCACACACAGGGTGGGGTCCAGCTGCGACCAAAAGCAAATGGGTGGCAACACTGGCTCAGCTGCATGGCACCAATGCAGTGCTTTACAGCTGCACAGCCGCACAGCTTAGAGCAGAGGTGGGCAATTAATTTCTATAGCGGGGGAAACATGAAAAATCTCAACTGTGTTTGGGGGCCGAACCAACTTTACTTAAAAATAAAATGAAACAATGATGTTATAATTGTTTTTATTTTAAGCTTGTTAATCTTCACAAATACTAAAGAGGTTTTTTGCAGTATGTTAAAGATAAGCAACTGATCAACTTTAGACAAAAAGCTATAAATGGTTTTGAAGTTCAAAACTGTCTGCTGGCCGGACAGGAGCGGCTCGCAGGCCGTATGTGGCCCTCGGGCCACACTTTGCCCAGGTCTGGCTTAGAGGGGACATTCTTCCTGAACATTACAATGATGAGATATGATGGGAGTTGGAACATTACAGTGGTGAGATATGATGGGAGTTGGAATTCAAAAGCATCTGAAGGGCCTGATTTAAATGGTCCATCAGTCCTGAGTTTAAATGGTCCTGTGGTCCCTCTGATTCAACATTAGGCAGCTTCATGTGTTCACATATCACTTTTAACAAACTGACACAATATGGGAGTGACATTAGAAGACCCATCAGTTCTAATATGAATGATATCAAAGAGGAAGTCGTGCCTTACCACCCTAATACATATTTCATTCCAGGCAGTTATGGAATGCTAAGCATAAATGATCTGTAAGTAAACCAAATGCATCAATTTTTTGGTGTAATACTGAGGTCCTAGATTTTCATTATACCATAGCGACCTTAAAAGAAATGGACAGATGTAGAAGGTATTATCATAGATTTGTAACATATAATGTGGTTCTGTGATTCTTTTAACTGAAATTGTCAAAGGCTACACTGAGACCCTCCATATTCAAAACACATACTATGCCTCTAAATTATATCTGTTTCCAACATTAAGAGAATCAGTGTTGTTTAGTGGCTAGTGCTGGTTTAGCACTCAAGGGACCTGGGTTCAAATCTCATCTCAGCCATAGGATTTCACTGGGAAATGGCAATGGTAAATCCCTCCTTGAACATCTCACATGCCTTGCAAGTATTATTAGGGTCACCCTAAATTGAAACAGATAACAATATCCATGCAACTACATTAAGACTCAATGAACAATTACGTGATGTGGAGAGACACCACAACACAACACCAAGGCATGGGAGGGGCATCCTGAGTCAGATAAGAGATTCAGATAACATTTTGTGAAGATCACAATTTCACACAATATTACATAAACCAAGAGTGGAAGGAGACAAAGTTCAGCGTTGGTGAATCAAGTTCAAGGATGTGACAGCCCTTTAATCTCATTCATAATTTTTTGAATTGTACACTGGAGATGAGAGCTACAAGATCTGGGAATGCTTATAGGTGGAGAATTCTTAGTAGTGCTCATGAAAACATCTGAACATCTATTTTATCCTTCTCACCTAAGTGGATTTTATGGTGTTAGAAAAAGAGATGGGAGTAACAACAGGAAACCATGAGTGGATTACAAATGGAAGACTAAAACCTCTGAGCCCACTGTTCAATTCATTAAGGCTCTGTGCCTGTAAGGCAATTGAACAACAGATGTTTCATCTGGAACTAGCCATAGAACTGTCTCTTCTGGCAGGTGTTTTCTCTGATACGAATATCACTACTTGTCTTCACAAAAACAAACTTCAGATGCAAAAGAACAGGACAGAGTGCTATTACTTACTTGGTTTTGAAGATTCCATCTTCCCTTCCATCACGTTGCTAAGCAACAGTGTGAGAGAGTAACTGTCAACAGCTATGAGGAGGTTGCCTATCAGCTGGAGGTATTGTGTCACTTTGCTATTAGAGCCAGATCTCAGGAGGGCATTTCATTTTGTGATAGAGACAAGAACTAAGGGTAAGAACAGCATATACCTGGGGCAGATCCTAGATGCGCACCCCTGGACTTTGAGGGGCTGCATCTGCTCCTGTGACCACCAACCCCCAATGTTTCTGAGACAAAAAGTGAGTGGGGGGGTTTAAAAAGGAAAGTGTGTATGTATTAGGGAAGCTACAGCCCACAAACCATTTGGGCTGAGTCCTAGTGATGTAAGCAGTTAGTGCACAAGGTTTGCATTCTACTGGAGTTTAGGAAACTTAGTTGTTGTTGTTTAGTCATTAAGTTGCGTCTGACTCTTCATGACCCCATGCACCAGAGCACACCAGGCCCTCCTGTCTTCCACTGCCTCCCAGAGTTGGGTCAAATTCATGTTGGTAGCTTCAATGACACTGTCCAACACAGCATATACCTGGGGCAGATCCTAGATGCGCACCCCTGGACTTTGAGGGGCTGCATCTGCTCCTGTGACCACCAACCCCCAATGTTTCTGAGACAAAAAGTGAGTGGGGGGGTTTAAAAAGGAAAGTGTGTATGTATTAGGGAAGCTACAGCCCACAAACCATTTGGGCTGAGTCCTAGTGATGTAAGCAGTTAGTGCACAAGGTTTGCATTGTACTGTAGTTTAGGAAACTTTGTTGTTGTTTAGTCATTAAGTCATGTCCGACTCTTCGTGACCTCATGGACCAGAGCACGCCAGGCACTCCAGTCTTCCACTGCCTCCCAAAGTTTGGTCAAAATCATGTTGGTAGCTTTGGTGACACTGTCCAACCATCTCCTCCTCTGTCATCTCCTTCTCCTCTTGTCTTCACACTTTCCCAACATCTGGGTCTTTTCCAGGGAGTCTTCTCATAAGATGGCCAAAGTATTGGACCCTCAGCTTCAGGATCTGTCCCTCCAGTGAGCACTCAGGGTTGATTTCCTTCAAAATGGATAGGTTTCTTCTCTTTGCAGTCCAGGGGACTCTCAAGAGTCTCCTCCAGCACCACAATTCAAAAGCATCAATTCTTCAGCAGTCAGCCTTCATTATGGTCCAGCTCTCACTTCCATACATCACTACTGGAAAAAACAGAGCTTTGACTATGTGGACCTTTGTTGGCAACGTGATGTCTCTGCTTTTTAAGATGCTGTCTAGGTTTTTCATCACTTTCCTCCCAAGAAGCAGGTGTCTTTTAATTTCATGGATGCTGTCACCATCTGCAGTGATCATGGAGCCCAAAAAGGTAAAATTTGTCACTGCCTCCATATCTTCTCCTTCTATTTGCCATGAGGTGATGGGACCAGTGGCCATGATCTTAGTTTTTTGTTTTGTTTTGTTTTTTTATGTTGAGCTTCAGACCATTTTTGGCACTCTCCTCTTTCACCCTCATTAAGAGGTTCTTTAATTCCTCCTCACTTTCTGCCATCAGAGTGGTATCATCTGCATATCGGAGGTAATTGATATTTCTTCCAGCAATCTTAATTCCAGCTTGGGATTCCTCCAGTCCGGCCTTTCGCATGATGTATTCTGCATACAAGTTAAATAAGCAGGGAGACAATATACAGACCTGTCGTACTCCTTTCCCAATTTTGAACCAATCAGTTGTTCCATATCCAGTTCTAACTGTTGCTTCCTGTCCCACGTATAGATCTCTCAGGAGATAGATCAGGTGGTGAGGCACTCCCATTTCTTTAAGAACTTGCCATAGTTTGTTGTGGTCCACACAGTCAAAGGCTTTTAGCTTAGAGCCTCTCTAGTTTAGGAAAGAGTTGGCACTCTTTGAGGGCACAGTTAGAATTACCTGAACATTGCTTGAATTCTCATGGCATTTTGCAAATTAAAGACATATAAATTTTAGTACATCAGCTGAGCATTTTTCCTTGTTTGCTTTTCTAATGTACAGAGGGGAAAAACTTTCCCTTCTAAAGTCCGTGGAGGAATATTTTGATGCTTTCAACTTCATCTAGACAGCAATGCCAAAGAAATATTTTAAGCCTGTAAAAAGGCATAGAAAGGGATTCAGTATCTATTTGTTGATGTAGTTATCTGCCATTAGGGTTACACAACAGAAGTATGCTGGCAAGAACCAATTGTTATCTTAGTAGCAGTGGAATTGATGTTATCACACTACCACTGGCTGTTTAAAGTACACATTGAAGATAATATCTGGGGGGGGGGAACAGATCCAACATGTAAATGTTTGGAAAGCTTTCCACATTTAGGTGGTAGCATCTAATAGCAATCAATCGAGACCAGCAGTGTGGTATAAAAAGTGAGAAACCAGCCAGTTAGGGGGAAAGTCATCAAAAATCAAGTGTTTTTCTTTTCTTTTTTTCTGTAGGTACCAGCTTTGTGAACGGTGCACATGAAGAACTGCTGGATGGCTCAGTGGTTTGGGTCTCTGACTGCAGAGCCTTAGACTGGGAGTTTTATTCCCCACTGTACATCCTTGACAAGGGTTGAATTTGGTGATCCACAAGGTCCATTCCAGCTCTGCAGTTCTAAGTTTGTTGTTGTTGTTGTTGTTGTTGTTTGTTGTGGTTGTTGTTGTTGTTGTTGTTGTTGCTGTTGCTGCTGCTGCTGCTGCTGCTGCTGCTGCTAATGAAGCTGAAGGGGGAAAAAGTGTAATCCAACCGGAGTGTTTTACAGAAAACATACTGGCTAAGTCATGCAAAGCCTACATGTTCTATGTTACAGCACTGAGTTTTACTCATTGGCAGAGGTGTAATGAACTTGGAGGTCAAAGTGCTGGGGCTTTTGGATTGGCAACAACAATAGCATCATCTTCGACTCACATCAGTATATTCTGTTTTGCCAATGTTCAGATGTAATTCTCACCATAAGTGAGAAATAGGGTTGTAAAAGTTTTTCTCCCCAGGATTAATATACTGTGAGTTACGTTTGTTATAATGTTACATATGCAGTACATGAATTTGGCTCAGATGATTCTGTACTGAATGCTTGGTGTCTAATGGCAGTCTAATGCTGCTCATTGCCATACCAACATGACCTGTCACGACCAGGAGAGACCAGATTCATTGGTATATTGGTTGGAAAAGCCAAGTTACCTAACGGGGGTAGGAAACACTTATCTGCTACATCTGAGCTGTCATGCCTATATAGCTAATATCTGTAATAGTTTGTAATTTATTCTGTCTGCTCTGTGTGCGTGTGCGTGTGCGTGTGCACGCACGCGCGTTGTAAGCGGAAGAGATGCCAGGTGGACTGGCCCCTTCCAATGGTGGAAACTGGATTGGGAGACAAGGGCAGTGTTGGTACACAAGTTGGTGCACAAGTGACTTCAAGCAAACACAAATGAATTGATGGCACAGGCCATGAAAAGCTAACATCTGGTGACAGGCAACTAACTAAATATTGGGATCCAGCAATTCTGATATCAAACACAAACTACTATTCCTCTATTGCTCTTTTATACTTGTCTGTGGTTGTAAACATGACTTAACTATTTTGTTATCCATCCACCACACAATTTCAGACATACAATGTTGTGATCTACTCTTAGTATTGTAATATATCTCTGAGATGGTCTCAAATGGACAACCAAAAAACTCTGTATGATTTACAAAAAAGAGTTGTTCCTGGTGGTGGACAGTTAAAACTGTTTTATTTATAGAGATACAAATGTTTGCAGATGAAACATGAGGAGGCCAGACTGGTAATATTAGGAGGGTAAGCAAATAGCCTGCATATGAAGCAGAGAAAGTAGGAGCCAGGGAGATTGTCATGCTGAGCATTGAGGGGAGAGATGGATGGCATGGAAGAAGCCAAAGGAAAGACCAACAAAATTGAGAAGAAGGGAATGGAGGTAGACAAGTAACTGAGTGCTCAAGCACACGTGCCAAAAGAATCCTAATTATACGGATTCTTTTCATACCTTTCTTGAATCAATACATTTTTACATGTGTTCTTGTGATACATATATTGTTGGACCTGTTTGCATGGCTGTCGGTTCAATTGGTATATTTTGTGCCATCTCATATAAATCAATTTGCCATCCTTTTTCTGGAGGCCCCACTGTTGTGATCTACCCTTATTATTGTACTATATCTCTGAGGTGGTCTCAAATGGACAACCAAAACACTCTGTATGATTTACAAAAGAGTTGCTCCTGATGGTGGACAGTTAAAACTGTTTTATTTATAGAGATACAAATGTTTGCAGATGAAACATGAGGAGGCCAGACTGGTAATATTAGGAGGGTAAGCAAATAGCCTGCATATGAAGCAGAGAAAGTAGGAGCCAGGGAGATTGTCATGCTGAGCATTGAGGGGAGAGATGGATGGCATGGAAGAAGCCAAAGGAAAGACCAACAAAATTGAGAAGAAGGGAATGGAGGTAGACAAGTAACTGAGTGCTCAAGCACACGTGCCAAAAGAATCCTAATTATACGGATTCTTTTCATACCTTTCTTGAATCAATACATTTTTACATGTGTTCTTGTGATACATATATTGTTGGACCTGTTTGCATGGCTGTCAGTTCAATTGGTATATTTTGTGCCATCTCATATAAATCAATTTGCCATCCTTTTTCTGGAGGCCCCCGATGCCCAAAAGTTTTTTTTTAAAAAATTCATAGTGATGTATCACTATTTTCCTGTCACTTCCAACTGTTAGTTGATGTGCAATCTGGAGGTATGTGTCACCTTCAGCCTTCCTTCCCTTTTTAATTCTCACTTCCCAGTTCCTTTCCCCACTTTCCATTTTCCATCTTGCCTCTTTTCCTTCTCTCTTCCTCCCCCTTTCCCTTCCCTTCTTTATTCACTCATCCCCTTTTCCCTGGTTCCCTGCATGTCTCTCCCTCTCTATTCTTGGCTTGCATTTTCCCCCCTTTTGAACAGGCTCAGGTGAGGAAGTGGGTTTTAAAAGACATGCAAAGCACTGTAAAGAGCAGGGTTTAAGAAAGAGAGACATCAATACAACACCCCTTTTTTTCTCCCCTCAAACAATTCAAAGCAGGAAATGTCCCTTTCTCTGCTCAAGCCCTCTTTCCATTTTCCTTCCTTACACCTGCAAGGGGGAAGGCTGCCTCCTTCTCAGCAATGCATTCATGTTGTTTTTGTGGCAGTGGTGGTGACCGCTACAAGCAATTTATCAATATCCCTTCAAACAAAATTTAAAGGGTACAAGCACAGTGTCCATGAAGTGGCCACAGAACCCAGAAACCTGACTCCTTTGCAAAGAAAATAAATTTACAGCAATGTCCACACATGCTAAAATGATAAGGATTGAAGTGATACATGATTGGTACATTTTAAAGCAACCCTTTCAGTGAGGTAGAAGGAAAAAGGATAGATTGGCTAAATGATCTTACACATGCATCAGGTGAATGGAAATTTATAAAACAATTCAAATAAAAGCCGAATCAATATTACTGAGTTTCTTTGATTGAGCAATGAGTGATGCAACCAAAAAAGCTAACAGCGACAATGCTTGGAAAATTAAGCTGGCCTGGGAAGAAATGAACAAAACAAGCAAACCACACAATAATGCAGCACAATAAGCAAGCAACATAATGACACTTGTTTAAAATCAAATTTCAATAATGTCAACCAAATTTCTGTCAAATATCTGTTGCCTGTAGACCACATGGCTACAGCCATTTTAATTGTTTAGTGTTTGGCAAAGAACATGGAAAGATTGTGCTGAAGGGAACTGAGATGGAACTCAAAACAAGCAGGACAAGCCTGGTTTGATGTAAAACAGGCTGTCAGATGACCAACCCTTAATTGGGGAGAGGAACCATTTGTTTAGTGTTTGGCAAGGAACATGGAAGGATTGTGCTAAAAGGAACTGAGATGGAACTCAAAACAAGCAGGACAAGCCTGGTTTGATGTAAAACAGGCTGTCAGATGACCAACCCTTAATTGGGGAGAGGAATCTTGTGGACATCTCACAAGTCCCAATAATCTGACAGCACAGGCATCACAAGTTTTGAACCCATCCCCTCAAGTGACTCAGAAGTAGGAAGCAAGAGCCACTTTGACACCCAGCTGTCCCCCACTTGGCATTTCTGTTTGGTGCTAGGACAAGGAACTCCACTTCTGGGCTGTCTCTGGAGGCATGCATGGCTTTGGGACTGTCGTGACGCAGTTCAAAATACACCACTTTCTGTCAGGAAACAATGTTCTTAATAACAACCTTAGAACTGCAAAGCTGGAAGGGACCCTATGGATCATCAAATCCAGACCCTGTCAAAAAGACACAATGGGGAATTGGTCCCAGGTTCTGCTTCTGCAGCCAGATGCCTAAACCACTGAGCTACATGTGGATGATCTAAGTTCTGATATACTGGTGACTATTTTCCCCTTGAGATTTTTCTGCTTGAAGTTTTGGGAAACCTAAAAAAAATTATGCAAAATTATGTTCACTGCTGTTGAGCACGTAGCTCCCACACACCCTACCTGATGGAATTTAATGAAAATGCATTAACACAGATTTGGAGACTGTCAAAACTCAATGGAGGGGTAGTATCTTTTGTGAAATAAGTGTTCTTTAAGAGGAATGTCCCTATTTAAAATTCTATAAAATGCTTTGATGATCAGTCTCCTGAATTTTGAGGACATTTTCACTCCTTAAAGCCAGACCTGTGACTTTTATTTTCCCTTACAAGATAGCTCAGATTGTTCATTTTGGACTGACACGTTGTTCAGCTTGACATTTCAGCATGCTAAGAACTGAACTGCTGCCGTATATAAGCTCCAGCTTCCTCCGTAATCTCATTCCTGAAACAATCCTGGTGTCTCACCTAATCCAAACTCTCTTGTTTGTGGTTGTTGTGGGTTTTTCGGGCTCTTTGGCCGTGTTCTGAAGGTTGTTCTTCCTAACGTGTCGCCAGTCTCTGTGGCCGGCATCTTCAGAGGACAGCACTGTCTTGTTTGTCTCACCTCAAGCTTTGCTCTTAGGTTATTCTTAATAAGGAGATCCTATAGAAACTCAATTTACATTCTCATTCTACCCATACGATCCACCTCATTCAGCCCATGTGGGATTGTATTGGCTTGTATTAAATTGTGGATATTCAGAATTCTCATTCACTCCAGTGTGTTAAAGCCAGACCTGTGACTTTTATTTGCCCTTACAAGATAGCTCAAATTGTTCATTTTGGACTGACTCATTATCATGCGATTACAATGTGCAGGGAGAAGATAGGCTGGGGCCACATCTGGACTGAGGGCCACCAATAGAAGTGGAAGCTTGAGGCCTGGGGGTGGTCAGAGTAAGGCTGGCTGAGGTTGTGCTGTCTATAGGACCACACATCCTTGGGGCGTGGACACAACCCTTTTCATGAGAAAGGGGTCCAGTGAGTCCCAGTTATGCTAATTCCACACTATAGCAGGCCCCTCTCTGTTGGGATCTTGAAAGTATTACATTGATTATTAAAGAATGGCCCTGGTTTACCCCATCACTTTGTGTATTACATCATTATTCTCGGGTGGGAGGGCAAATAGGGTTTTCAAGGCAACATATTTTTATTTAAGTTCTAATCCATGTCTATGGGGCCTTTACATCAAATGTCCATAGAACAACACGGTTCTCGTTAACATATGTAGTAGGATACATGACACTTAATTTTTATTTTTATTGTCATTGTACCTTTGATGCACCTATATCTGACATTTCATCACAGGGAAATGGAAAGAGAAAACAATTCAGGAGGAACCATAGGTAACAGCTGCAATTACACAACTAATGATACAGTGGAACTGAGAGGAAATCTGAGAAAAGGGAGCTAATCAAAAAGAAGGCCCTAGCAAACCTTCATTCATTATGGGATTAGAAAGAAAGCTTATAGGACTGTGAGGATGAAGGGCCGAGAAAAAAAAAGATGCATTAGGAAACTTTTGGCCATCATATGGGAAAAGGGGTGTTGAACTTTGTAGAAAAACAGGGACATATGGACGATGGATGAGAGGTTCTTGGGAAATAAAGAGATTAAAAGAGTGCTGGGCAATGGCTGCATTTCATACATTGATTTGAAAAACCTCCATGTTCTTGCCTTTAGGGTTCTAGCAAATAATTTTCAAGTGCATGGATCTTCAATATCAATCTTCATTACTGAGTGAAATATATTGGCTGAAAAACTGAATCTTGTCCAATTTCCAGCTGCTGGAAAAAAATAAACAGAAAATCTGAGTTAAAATTACAGTGTAGCCTGGCAGATAATGGGTCTTTTTGTCTAGTGCCATAAAGCAGAGGGAGCTGATAGGAAATTGTGAAAACTTTCATTACAACACGCAATGTTAAAAGCATTCTATGATCTGATCATAGTGTAAATAAAAATAACATTGGACATAAAAAATTGAAAGAATAATAACCAACAGGGAAAGTCATTAAAAGAGCAGCAGTAAGTTATTAAGAACAATAATCTAGAACTGCAAAGCTAGGATGGAACCTATGGAGTCCAGCTCCTACCAAGGAGGCATAGTGGGGAACTGAACTCCCAAAGACTGAGCTATCCAGCAAGGAGAATAGGAGGGCTTGGTGTTGATGCATCACCAAGTAAGCACTGAAATTTTGCAATCCTCTATATGTGTGGTCACTGAGTCCCTGTGGATTTTAGTTTTGACCTGAATATAATGGATATTTATTTGATGTAAGCTACGGTGTTCATAAATTAAATGTTTTGGAAAAATGTTCCTGAACAATTTTCAAGGCCTTAACATGTCTTTAGATTCCCTTCCCCTCCAGAGAAAAATGTATCATTATTTTCAGCTAAGTTCCTTAGTTGAAAATATACCATTCAAAGTACCAAATCCTAAACTGTAATGAATTCAGCAGAGAGCTTGCACTACATATTATATATGTATGTGTACATGTTCTAAATATAACATAAGGGACAAATTAGGAACTAAATAGAAAGCAAAGTGCAGAGCAGCTATAATCCTGCATTAAAAACAGTATTTTGAAAAAGGGTCGCTGGAGAAGTTTTGAATGTCTCACAGATTTAGCTGAATTAAATGCATCTTTTTAATCCAACCTGTTTTTTAAATGGAAATTTCATCAAGGATGAGTGCTTATAGGTAAGGGGTAGGTACCAGGCAAGCAGAAGATATATGAACCCATACTTCTTGCTACATTCCTTGGGAAAGCAGGCGACTGCATTGCAGGATTCTGCCGAAACTAAACGCCTTTTAAAAAAATGGAGCAAACCCACCAGTGACTTCTAGTATCATATGATGCCAATATGGCTGCAGTTCTGTTCTGTTTTTTATAGATACACCATATTTCAGGTGGCACAGGCCCACCTACTTTTTACCCACCTAATCGCATGACAGCCTGTTTTGGAAGGTTTTTAACTGTCCTCCTCCAGGCTTCTTCATTCAGCATGTGGGGAAGACAGAAATTCTGAATGCTAGCACTCTGCCCTGTTCAGTCTCACACCACTAAACCTGTGGGCTGGGGAGTGGGACTGACAGGTTGGAGAAATCCCGGTTCCTCTCCTCTCAGAGCCAGCACTGCCCTTTTCCAGAAATTTGGCTGGATACCAGATTCAAAGAAGAAGTGTCTAAAGAAGTGAACTTGTCCACAAGAGCTCATGTGTCAGTTAGTCTTTAAGTTGTCACAGCATATTTTGTCTTTTTTATTTTTTCATTTTTGTTTTGTTTTATCTGAGAAACAAATGTATCAGTCAGTCTTTAAGTTATCACAGCATTTTTTGTCTTTTTTATTTTTGTTTTGTTTTATCTGAGAAACAAACAAAGGTATTGCAACTTGGGTGTGTGTTACAAGGAGGTTGTTGTTGTGAATTATTTACTGCCCCACAGTGCTCTAGCACTCTTTGAGCAGTTTATAATAGAATTATGAAAACAATCATTCACCCTCCTGAGCAAGCTGGGTACTTACTTTACTGACCTCAGAAGGATGGAAGGCGGAGTTAACCTTAAGCCGGCTACCTGAATCCATCAGGATTAAACTCAGGTTGTGAGCAGAGGACTGACTGCAGGACAGCAACTTAACCTCTGTACCACACCTGTTTGCAGCTAATGAATTTTATCCAAAGCACTGGAAAGGTATAGTTTCAGCCATTCTCAGCCTAAGAGGCTAATTATTTTAATCCCAAAGGTGGGCAAACCTCTATTTACTGGATTTTCAAAATCTTCTGGGCATCTTAAACAATATATTTTGAAAGACAAAAACCATATAGAAGAAACAGTATTTAAGGATGAGCCAAAAATTAAAATATAGGTCAAATGGGTGAGTTTTCTTTTTCTTTTTTTCATTGATAGTTGAGGGATTGTAGTTAACACAATCATGCAGAAATTATAGTCACCATCTTAATGTATGTTTTGGCATTTAACAAGCAAAAGAAATTTCAAGATTTGGCATGAGGAAAATGACTTATTATAGCTTAGAATACTCAGGCCATCTGAGAATACCTCAGCTTACTATGATCCATCAAAAATGGACACATTTATAATTCAGTATTTTTTAAAAACAATTCAAGCCATCCATCTCTGCTTGGGTTAATTTTTCATACAAAAATGTAAAGCAATGGTATCACTTCTATCTTGGGGACAGGATAATAAGCCTCTCTTTATGCAGGTGATGTGGCATTTAAACAAAACAAACCTATTACATCGGACTAAAAATATATAGTGAAGCAGTAAATGGTATGAAGTCTGAAATATTGGAGGCTGAACATAGGAGAAAATACTGCTACCATATAATCTTGTTAAATGCTATGGGGGAATTGAATTCTCTAGACTTTACAATACACGAAGTATTTCTAAGTAATTAGTAATCTAGATTGTTCAGTGATTTAGGAGGAGATGGGAGTGCCTCATTAACAGGGACAGAATGATCCATAGAGTCCCTTCCAGCTGTGCAGTTCTAAGATGATGATGATGATACTGCATGTGAGCAAGGGCTGACAGTCTTCCATCATTATTATTGTGATATTGATTTAGCTTTAGCATATGTGATTGGCTTTGGGTTTTGCGTTTGTGCATGCAAGATGGAAACTAGGAGTACTTACTTTTTTTATATACATCTTGGATATACCCATAGCCCCTTTACACATTGTTTTCTAAAGGGTGGTGATGATGGATCTTTAAAAAACCCTGGTTTACACTCAAATTCCATCCAGTAATCCGATGCTCTCATGGAAGTTGATTTAGTTATTGACTTCAGCTGGATATTGTTACGCCCCATGCCAGATTCATCTGCTCTACAGGTTTCTGAAGGAAAGCACATAAAATTTGTCTTTTGTGAATCAAGCCAACACTTTCAATACATGTATTTAAGTGAGGTAACAGGAATCATGACTTGTTGCAAACCCACTGTGGCTTGGAGTCCGTGGCAACATTCATCTATTAAGAGAACTGACTCATAGTCTAACTGCTACATCCATCTTGTAGCAGTGTGATGGTAACTGCAACAATGCCCAATGTCTAAAAGGTCCAACCTTAAAGTTTAAATTTCACAATAATATATGAAATAAACCTTAGAGCAGAGACTTAGAACAACGACCTCCTACCCAAAGACTAGAAACATTCGATGCAAAACATGGTATTCTGCTTTTAATCCTCAATCTGACTATATTTGTGAGTCTGATTGCTAAGGCACATGTCTCTGAAATCCCACCCAGTATGAAAAGAAAAATGGGTTACTATTAGGTAAGACAGTCTTGTTGATATCTAGCTGATGATTACTTAAAGATGGCTTGTATGTATGTCATTCTATACACATGGGAACCTTTGCAAAAGATACAAATAAAGGCAGAGAGAATTTCAGCTATAACAAAATATCTTCTCCTCCTCCCCACCATCACAATATCTCTTGCAATTGAGAGAAAGGTAGAATTTTTAAAAAGTAAATAAATATACCACTTTCTGGTTTTAATGGTCCTTAAAAATTTTTTAAAGAGAACCCAGTGTAAAATGGTCCTTTAAAGAGTAAGAAAACACATCACTCCTGTCTAGGCTCCAGTGGAAAAGGAAGAAATCAGGTGTCGTAAGTGCTATACCTACTTTTTGTGCTGCTTAAGTGCCCTTCCACTATAACAGGGGCATTGTGCTTCCTAAATCAAGAGAGTGTTGCGGATTAGCACTTACGAAGACATCTGGGCACGCCTCTCCACTGACCATCAATGCATCGTGCAATTGGAGTGCCTTCCATTACATACAGTCTGTAGCACTGATATACCACAATTGAACCTGATAAATATTGTTGTGCTTGATGGGCGATGAGCATTGCATTATCAATGGCAGGTGGAGGACCACAGTTTTCTGGTATCTCTGTAATGAAAGTATTGAATACTGTATACTCAGGAAAAGGAAACACACACAAAATTACAAAGTAGTCTGAAAATGAAAGCAAATCAAACTAACTCTTTAACTGCATTGTGTGGTAGGTACAGCCTCAGCCAACATCTCATGTTCCATCACCAGTTTCCAGTCATAATGGGTCCCATCTTCTTACTCATTATGCTGACATATTACAACTTTGGGAGATAAATTGTCCCAACTTCAGAAATCATTATAGACATTATCAGTTGTACATTGAATTGCATGCCTCAGTGTGCAATTAATAATGTCTGTGGTGGTTTCTTGGGGCAATTCACCTCCAAAGGTTAAGCCATTTGTGTAGCCACATAAGAAGATTTTGTTGAACAACACACTTCTTTGGAGAGCTCAAACATATAGTGTAGTGGCTCCCAACTTTGAACAACCTTGGTATTCTTCAACTGCAGTTCTCAGAAGTCTTCATTGACAGCTGTGCTGGCCGGGATTTCTGGGAATTCATACATACTCAGTAAGCTGTAAAACCCCCCATACCCAACATTTTAAATGCACTAACTTGTGGATGTGTATCAAGATGTATGCTGCCACAAAAGCAAAATGTTACAGCTACATGAAGATATCACATGAAGATACATTACAGCTAGCCTGTTAAACTTTTCATAACAAGGAAATACAATAGGACTCTCATATCGAAGGGATCAGTATCTGGTGATTCACTTATCTACACTCTCAAAATATTAAAAATATTAAAAGAAAAATCCTAGAAATATATTGAACCAACCCCCTGAGGATCTGGGAGTTCTGTTGTATAGCACTTTCAACTCATCTTTTGAAAGTGTGCTTCTCTTGCGCTAGAAGCAAAACCAGGTTGCATCCAGACTGAGAGAGTAGGTCCATTTGAAATCAATGTTCTTCACTTATTTTGTTGTTGTTGTTGTTTAGTCGTTAAGTCATATCCGACTCTTTATAACCGCATGGTCCAGAGCACACCAGGCCCTCCTGTCTTCCACTGCCTCCCGGAGTTGGGTCAAATTCATGTTGGTAGCTTCGGTGACACTGTCCAACCATCTCGTCCTCTGTCATCCCTTCTCCTCTTGCCCTTACACTTTCCCAACATCAGGGTCTTTTCCAGGGAGTCTTCTCTTCTCATCAGATGCCCAAAGTATTGGAGCCTCCGCTTCAGGATCTGTCCTTCCAGTGAGCACTCAGGGTTGATTTCCTTTAGAATGGATAGGTTTGTTCTCCTTGAAGTCCAGGGGGCTCTCAAGAGCCTCCTCCAGAACCACAATTCAAAAGCATCAATTCTTCAGTGGTCAGCCTTCTTTATGGTCCAGCTCTCTAGGGTTATACCCATCATTAAAAAGTGCCATTGATTTCAGTGGATCTGTCCTAAATACAGTTAAGTCTGGCTCCAACCCATAAGTGTCCACAGCAGCCTTGAAAAGGATATTTTATGCTCCTTGGAAGAGTTGTCCCTCTCCTAACATAACAAAGACAAAATATTTTCATGACAGTAGCAATGTGGTATTCTCCTAGTTGAGCTTGGCCCTTTGCCCTCACAGTCTTACAGCCCTGCCAGTCTCTAAGCATATAAATATATAAACATTTGAATATGGAGAATGTCAACCAACGTGATGTTGTCAGGCAATTTTAGAAGCAAATAGAAAAACTAGTGTGAACATTTAGCTTTGATTTAAGAATGCAAGGAATATATTCTGGCTACATACCATTTGTCATTTCATTTAATCAACATGAGACTTACATTTATTCCAAAGTATCAATGGGGATGAGCACCGCGCCTCAGAGTCGGACACAACTGAACTAAATGTCAAGGGGAACCTTTACCTTTACCTATAATTAGTTTCCTAAAAATAATTTGTGCTAGGATTGTGTTCCTGTTTTTGTTTTAAGTAGGAGAGTTCTAGATCTTACCTGTATCAGTCAGGAGGTTCACAAGACCATCAAGAGTTACTTGTCCCTGTTGATATACTGGGACTGAAATAGAAAGATAGGGCATGTGAAAAAGGTAATAAGCTGCCATATCATCCACCCTTTAAGAAAAACAAAACACCACAGCATGGTTTCATATTAAAATCAGTAGTAAACTATTTACTTCTACTTTGATGATCCCTGTCATTTTCCTAGGGGTGAGAATGAACAACTTCTTCCCTGTCCCTTTGTCCTGTGGAAAGAAAAAGTAATGGTTTCACATTATCATTCTTTGAGAACAGGAGTATGTGCTCCTTTGACTGCACCCACAGTGCACTATTCACAATAGTCTGCTTTCTGAAAAAGGTGGTAAAAGTTGAAGAATAGAAGCATAAGAGTCAATGTGTGTGATAGTCTCTGTCTGTGAGGATCTCCACGGGAAGCCTGTTAAAAAAACCCTATGAGACCCATAAGCCCTTGTAGATGCCACCGAGCTTAGTCCTATCTACTCATTTCCCTTGTTTTCTTCATAGGATAAAATGTGTATGGGAGTCTGAATTTTTCACCTGTAAGAACTTGAAAACACCTGTCAAAACTGATTATTTTTAATAATTATTAAAGCCCCCAGACATCTGTCTGAGGAATTCCTGCAGACTTCTAGGAGCTATCGTCCACAAAATATAAAAATCTCATGCCTAGTCTATATTATGTGCTTCAAGTACAGAAAATAAGAGCTTATCAAAAAAACCCTCCAATTCTTGACTTCTGGGGTCTGAGCCTAAACCTTCCCAGAAAGCAAATTCCCCTCTGGCATTGGATGTATTGCTGCCACGACTCAAATGCAGTATTTCACATCTAGAACTGAGGGAGTATTTGAGATTTCCTTCCTCTAAACCAATGGTTCCCAACCTTGGGTCCCCAGATGTTCTTGGACTAAAGAAGCCTTCACTACTAGCTTTGCTGGCTAGGATTTTGGGGAGTTACAGTCCAAAAACATCTGGGAACCCAAGGCTGGGGAGCCACTGCTCTAAACAGTTCCCACACTGTATTCCTCCTTCCCTTTCCTGCAGAGAGAGGGAGTGGAGCCTAGTTGTTGAACACAGTTGTCAAACCAAATATTGAGTTCACTTAGCCACAACTCTTGCTGTTTTAAGCATGCACCACAAATGCTCTTTCAGAACATTCATGAAGAAAATTACATTTGTTGTGGAACTGCTGCGTTGTTAGATGCTACAATCAACTGCAGATTGTAAAAACACAGTGAGTTACAAACCTAAGAGGCAGCTGAAAGTTAGAAAAAGAGAGCAAGAAAATGCTTCTACTAACACAAGGATTCCTCACAATAGAGACAAAGTAACAAAATAAAGATTGTTGTTGTTGTTGTTGTTGTTATTCACATTTCTCCCAACAAGGGACCCAAGGTGGCTATAATAATTCCCTATTATTCCCCATTATTTCTAGCTACAACATCTAGGTCCGCACACAGTTGTTCAATCACCAGAAATACCAGAAGTATTCTCTGACAAAGACTCAAGTCCTGTTGCTTAGTCATGACCAGAATAGGCCCATTGAATCAAGGGCGATTTGGTGAGTCAGCCTTTCCATAAATTCCTTTGATTTAATAGGCCTATTCTACGTGCAATTTACTATGATAAGAAAGAGGATTTCAGTCAATACCTGTCAGGATTGTTGGGTCTGAAGGCAACAGCTGAAGTCTCAGGGAATGCCTGGATCTTTTGGGTTTGGGGGAACTGGAAAATCTTAGGGCAGGTGGCACTGGAGAAGAAAGTCTGACCCCCCTCCTCCTTTCTGAGATGTTTTTAAAGCCTTCTCCGTCCACATCTAGCTAGAGCTAGGGGTCTCTGCTGTAATGTCCACAATTATGCCTGCTTCCCTTCTGGCTTTTTGTATGGACAGAACAACGTAACTCTAGCAGTTCACATCCTCATCCCAAGTTGTTGACAGCACATCAACATGGCGGAGTTGAGGCTTTTCACAAATGACTTCAGCAACTGTCCTTGCAAAGGTCTTTCACCTTCTTTAGTTCCACAAGATTAATGATCTACTCTTAGCCAGACTGCAAAGCCAGACATTCATTTTTCTTTGTTGGAGGCACAGAGGCAGATTATGAGGTAACTCTTTGCAGAAAAAAAACATAGGTACATAGTCCTAGTAACCCTCTCTCTCCCAAGCTGCTTCAGAAGGCTGGTGAATTCTTCTCAGCAGGTTTTCAGTGCCACAGAGGGCTACAGTGGGGGGAAAAAGAGAGGAAGTGAATCCCAGTTCTCCCACAAAATTGGTATTTCACCATAAAATGAGGATTTTACATGTTCTCTCTGTGAAGGGGGTTGGGCAATGTAAATTCTTGTTTATTAATAGAAGTACTGAGAACTATTCAGAATTAATAGAACTACTTAAGAGCTTTATGTCCCTTATATGTGAGCATGCCAAAAGTAGAAAGATAGGAATCTTTTGAGGAAGGGTACCGCCAAAGTAAGTGTATTGTCTCCAACATTGGAGAAGTTCCTGAGAACTCAGAAACGAAGTATAAATGAAGGCAATGTCTGGTTCCATATGCATGCTTACTGTTTTTCTTAAGCATGTTTCCCCTGAAGCCAGAGGTCTCTTTTAGCTGACAGGAATAATATCCACTTTACAACAACATAATGGCTGCAGTTTTCTAGAATCTGAATTAAGGTTCTTAGGGCTGCAGCCTTAAAGAACTCAAGTAAATAACTAACAATGATAGACATAACATTGGTTCAATGATGCATGATAATTGTTTGCAGCAGTTTAGAATTAGATGACTTACCTTGTTGTGCAGTGCAACACATCCATAGCAGAAGCAGAGCAAAACAGCATAGCAAGCGGAATGCCATCACAGAACTTTGTGAAAAGAGCTCTGCTTTTCTGAAAGGTTTCTGCTGGGTTTTCTCTTAACACTCAGCTCGGTGTACTTTGCCTGTCCTAACTGTTGTGAGGAATGATCTTACTTGGGCTTTTTCCTTAACAATTGCTCCCCCTTTAGTCCTGTTGCAACACACATAAATACCTGTTTCGGGGCCAGAGAAATATTCAAACAATGTACAGTAGTTACCCGATTAGTGGTGTCTTTTCCAAAACTTGGGAAAGTTGCCTTTTTTGAACTATGCCACCCAGATTCTCACAGGTGTGTGTAGAACTCTGGGAACTGTAGTCCAAAAAGGTAACTTTTCGGAGCTCTGTTCTTTTATGACAGCTTTTGGTTTGTCTTGTTTTACACAAATGATAAATTTCATCTAGTCTAACAAATGTCAACATTGTTGGTTTTCGAGATATCAGTGTTAAATCCATTTTAAAATTTTATTTACTCGAAATATATACTGTATATCCCACCTTTCTCCTACAAATTGCTTGCAGGAAACCCATTTTTCCTTGGCATGGACTCTTCAAAGGGTTTTAAATGAGATTTTTTTACTAAACCGGAGGTTCTCAATCTTGGTAACCAAGGTGTTCTTGGACTGCAATTCCCAGAAGCCTTCACCACCAGCTGTGCTGCCTCAAGTTTCTGGGAGTTGCAGTCCAAGAACACCCAAGTTACCCAAGATTGGGAACCACTGTACTAGGCCACTGGTTCTTAACCTTGGGTTACTCAGGAGTTTTGGACTGCAACTCCCAGAAGCCTTCACCACCAACTGTCCTGGCTGGGGTTTCTGGGAGCTGCAGTTCAAAAACATCCGAGTAACAAAGGTTAAGAACCACTATACTAGGCCATCAGGATGACTTATTCACTGAATTTTAGATGGGCTTCAGATATCATGATCTGCCACACGTAACAAGCTTGTTTTTTCATTCCATTGTTTTACCATTGCTTGGTTTTTTTTCATATTACAGAAAATCCGTTAAGAAGAAAACAATTGAAAAATTGCCTTTCAGTCTTATAATGGTGAGATGAAGAAAACACCCATCTGGAAACACTTTTTGGTTTCGTGCCCTGTTCTCGACAACTCCAAAGACAATGCAATAGCATTGCAACTTGATCCACATATGGTAATGAAAAGCTTCTGTTGATAGCAGTTGTTGTTAAGAGCTTGGGCAAATATCAGGATCCCCACCTTCTAATAATTGATGATGCTATCAATTGATAATTGAGCAGTGATGGGATTTTTGCTGCAACTTGAATAAACATGGGGATGCTGTGGGATAAGAAAGAACCTTAATATTTTTTTAAAAAGAGTCCTCATAAATGCAAGAGAAAGTGGGTGACTTTGAGTGCTTAACTTTCTAAAGGTCTGAGGCTTGAATCTCGATTCAGTGAATCATATTTGTGGTGCTGCACCAGGGCTTATACCACCTCCGTTTATCTAAAAGGCTCTTCACCCTTAATACCTATTTCTCAGACCCATTAACACAACCTTCTTCATCCTGGGAATCACCACAAGTACTGAATTTAATCAGTGCAGAGGGATAAAATTCCATTTGGCTCACATTTCTGCACCAAATAATAAAACATGTTTTATAAATGGGATAGAATGATTTTTAGAAAATGTAGTATGGGAGAAATCAAACCTGATAGATTTATCCACATCTGTGTTCAACAGAGTCTGCACATGATCACAGGCATTTCATCCTCCAGAAACAGGCTGACATCAGTAACTGGCATCACAGGGCAGTTGGCAGAGAACCAGTTCTCTAGCATAGCCCATCCAGCAGTTACCTTTGTCTTTCCACATCTGTGAGTTTCCATTTTGATGTCCTGCAGTGCTCTGGAGAGATGCTATGTTGGGTAGTCTAGAGCAGTGGTTCCCAACCTTGAGTCCTTAGATGTTCTTTGACTACAATTCCCAGAAATCCAGGCCAGCAAAGCTAATGGTGAAGGCTTCTGGGAGCTTTAGTCCAAGAACATCTAAGGACCCAAGGCTGGAAGCGACTCCACTACAGCACTGTGATAAAGTAAGATGTCTGCTCTCAGCTAACCTTTGAGTGCTACTGTTGCTTTCAAATAATGATTTGGGAAATTGCACAGGAATGAGCTCATTTGGTACTTATATGGGAGACAGCCAGAGATTTCTGTGTGGCTCTAGAGAATTCTGCCTGGCAGTCGGTGATGACAAGTTTGCATTAGATGGGCTAATGGTTTGATTCAGTAAATGACAGCTTTCTATGATCCCTGTTGGGATGCAGAGAGATAACCACAGTGCTCTGGTTTCCAAGGTCATTGTTTGTTTGTGTCTGTGTACCTGTATGCCTGTTTGTGTGTGTAAATGTGTAGCTGTCCTCTCCTACAACCGATGCCAGAGAAAAATGAGAATAATTGGAGCAACTCTAATATTTACCTCAACATTTCTAAAGTTCAGAGTGGACTCTCCATACATTATCATTTACCAACTAAATGAACAAATAAATAAGGCCTTAGGGACCAACACCTGATTTTAGCTTATGCATAAACCGGGTATCTTGGGAGGAAGAGATGAGGAGCCAAAGAATGTCTGAAACAAGACCCTTGGGTTGAGGCACTTGCGGAGAGTATGTGTCAAGAAAGTTGGGGGAAACCTGTGGCCCTTAAAGTCTTCTTAGTTTGCAGCTCCTAACAATCCAACAGCATGGCTGACAATAAGGGACCGTGAGAGTTGCATCCCAACTTTCTCTGGAAAGAAAGACCATATGCTTTCCATTCATAGCTTAACAAATTAAAGTGTAAAACCTTTCTGCTTTCTTGGAGCAAACCAGAAAAAATTGACCAGTCTCAGTCAAACAGACTGAATTGGCTCAAAAACCCTCACGGGTTTAGCTGCCAAGTAAAACTGTTTTAATAAAAACAATTTTAAAAAAACAAGCTTTCAGCAAGGGAAACATGTCCTGTCATCTTCAGGATTACAAACAGCATACCGACTACATTGAATACAGTAAATGTTTTGTGATATAATTGCATTGCGTGTATAGCGCTGTATGCTATGTAGTTAGTAAGCTGGTTTTTAAATTGTTTTTATTAAAACAGTTTTACTTAGAAGCTAAACCTGTGAAATTAGAGTGTCCTGATTATATCATCCCACTCAGTGTTTTTATGGTTTTGAGAAAAAGAGTGATACACACTAATAATATGTCTGTGCTCAAAATAAGTTGTAAAATTTGTAATATCTACTTCTTTCTTGATCAGTTTGATAGGAATTAAGTTTTTAGAAAGCTAAACAAAAATATTAGCCCTATAAATACAACCCCAAGCCCTTAGAAGTAATATTTATTTAGCATTTATACTTTTAAAAATAGGAAAATATACTATATACACACATAAACTCACAGACAACTATAAAATAATGCCCTTCGATAAATGCTGCATAAAAAGACACAAAATACCTTATTACAAGTGACCTTCATTCCCAAATACATGTTAGAATTGATATTCTATTTTTCTATTTGGTATTCTGTTCCTATGACAACTAACCTCCAAAGTTAATTTATTACTTTGACTTAAACTGTGACCTTCTTCTTCTTTGTTGATCTTGTTCTTGCTGATTAAATAGTGGCCCCTAATTGAACTGATATCTGTTTATCAGGGATTGACATATATATCTGTCTAGCTATCATTTGCAGATATAATATTAGCTCACATTGGATGAAATCTTGTTGCTTAGTGTAGTTAGTCATGCTAGAGTATTCCCATTTCAATCAATGGCACTTACAGAGGAGTTGATTCACCAAATCACCACTGATTCAATGAGCCCACTAAGCAACAGGAGTTAAGCCAAATACTGTGAACTTACATCATTTTTAAATCATGTTTTTTTCCATGATTAAAATTGTGCATTTCTGCCCACAGATATAAGAAAAGGGTAGCATCTGAGATCTGTTCCAACCATGTTGATTTACTTTTCAGCAGCCATATTAGCACATTTACATTTAACAAGAATTAAATGCTAAAGGAGTTAATGTTTTTTCTGGGTTTTTCGGGCTCTTTGGACGTGTTCTGAAGGTTGTTCTTCCTAACGTTTCGCCAGTCTCTGTGGCCGGCATCTTCAGAGGACAGCAACCTGTGCTCTGGTGTAGTTGGCTTGGGAGTGCAGTATTTATGACTGTGAGATAGGCTTTTGTCTTTTTCTGTAGATGGGTGATTAGTGTGTATTGTTGTGGATGTATTGTTGTGCTAAGGAGAAGAGATTATCTGTTCCTGTGGTTGATGAGTGTCATTAGCTGGTCTTTTGTGTGTAGTGATCCCCTGTTCTTGTGGCTGGGTAGAGTTTGTTGACCTACACAAAAACTCCAACCACCACCCACAGCAAAAAAGAGGCATAATCAAAACACTGGTAGACCGTGCAAATCGGAATTGTGAAGCTCAGTTTCTCAGCACTGAATTCAACCATCTGAATTGGGCCCTACAGGCAAATGGCTACTCCAAAAATGAAATCACAAGAGCCATCAAACCAAGAAAACAACACGGAACTGAAGAAGTACACACAAAAGACCAACTAATGACACTCACCAACCACAGGAACAGATAATCTCTTCTCCTTAGCACAACAATACACCCACAACAAATCACCCATCTACAGAAAAAGATAAAAGCCTATGTCACAGCCAGAAATACTGCACTCCCAAGCCAACTACACCAGAGCACAGGGTGCTGTCCTCTGAAGATGCCGGCCACAGAGACTGCTGAAACGTCAGGAAGAACAACCTTCAGAACATGGCCAAAGAACCCAAAAAACCCAGAACAACCATTAGATCCCGGCTGCGAAAGCCTTCACGAATATACTAAAGGAGTTAGTTTATTTGCTCTGCTACTAATAAATCCTGGTTTGTTTGTTTTAAGCCATTCAGGTTCAGAGCAATGGTAACACAGAGGGATGACCCTAGCACTAAGCAAAATGAAATAACTCCCTTAGGGAGGTTTTCAGGATTGACTGATTGATTGACTTGATTTGATTTTTATATCTGGCTACCAAGGCGCTCTGGGGAGTTCACAACAAATGTAAGAACAGTCAACAGCTTTAAATGAACATAAAATACACATCAAAATAATATCAAGAAACAAAATTGAAATAAACATTATGACTTAAAAAACATAATAAACCTATATATGAGGGTGGCAAATTATTGGTTGGTTACTTAATTACTTCTTTGGGGATGACTCTAACACACAGCAGCTTTCTTTGTCTCCTATATTTGCATTTCTTGTGTCCATGAAATGTTTTGGATTATGATACCTTCACTTCTTTCATGCTTTCTCTGGAAAGAACAAATTATTCTGCAAAAAACATATACCATTCATGATTTGCTAATTATAGTCAGTTGAATAAGTAAATACCATTGGTTTAAAATAGTTCCCCCAGTGTCTACACAGTTGAATGATGCAATTTTGATCTCCTGACTGAAACTACTAGATTTATGGTATTTCTTTAGGATTTCCCCTCTCCCCCCCCCCAAGAAAAATAAATCAGAAAGTAGTGCAGATATTTCATATAAAACTCATAACCTTGAATCATTGCTTGAGACCTGAGGAAGGCTGACAGCAAAATCTGTATAACCAAGGAAAGCTCTGATTCAGTCTCGTCTTAGGCAAACCACTGTTCCCATCTTATATTCCTATCTGCAATATGAGAGTAATATGACACAGATTTATTTTACATAGTTTCCGTAAGGAGTGCTGAAAATCTATGTGAACTAATGTGAATACTCGAAAGAAAATAAGAGTGCAAAATATTATTTATAATCATATATATGGCTTTACAGAACAACTGCTGACCTAGGAGTTAGAATTACACTTTTGTTTGACTATGACCAAGCATGGTGATCATCTTAAATGCATTGCATTGCACTGTCCAGTCACTAGCTTCTTATTTTAACTAATCTATTTATCCCCAGGCTAACAACATAATTAAAGACTAGCTCAACCAAGCATGTTCATTATTCTGTATCCATTATAGCAAGCCATGAATTGTATGTGTGAATGACTATTAGAGATGAAATGTTACAAACAGAATTCCCATCTGACCATATGTTACCTCAAACATAATGGCTGCAAACCAACACAAATTTAAATGGTTTCAAGCCCACTGATATCTTTGTTGGATTTTTGGCTGAACTATTTTAGCGAAGTTGGTTCCCAAATTTGTATTACCCAATAGTTGTGTAAAGAAATAATGAGACCTAATGGGCAGGTGGGTGCTGAAGTTCTCAGGAAAATAACACTAATCAGTTTAGGACATGTTCATTGTCTCACAGAAAAAAACAACACTTGTTTCCCCCTAAATAATCAATGTTGGTGTCCTTTCCCTGGAAAACAACAGAGGGGAACATGATTTTAGCTTTTGGAAAGAAATTCCTTGTAGTAATGCAACAAAAAATTTAAAAGCATGCTGCGTATAAGATTGGTAATGACATCTTGGTAATTTAACAATCTAATCCTTTCTTTGTTCATCTGTTGATCTACTACCCAATTATAGATGTATAATTTTGTTTAGATAAACATACAACATGTTTTAAGTGTCTTAGAAAAAGTAGCTTGAAATGCAAAGGGTGAACAACAAAGCTTGTGATCTTGCTTTTGCACAGTGCTACATCATGTAGTTAATTGGCCAGAATTATCTGTTTCCATGTTCAATGTTCTCATCAAAGCTCAGAATGCGATATTATAGAATGGGGGTTCCCAGCCATGGGTAACCCAGGTTTTCTTGAACTGCAATTCCCAGAAGCCCTCGACAGAACAGCTGGTGGCAAAGGCTTCTGGAAATTACAGTCCAACAACATCTGAGTTACCCAAGGTTGGGATCCACTGTTATAGAAGAAACTTGCAGGCTGAAATCTAGTAAAAAGTTACAACTACAGGAGGCAAATTGAATCAATGGAACTTAAGGGGAATTGGTTGTTGTGGTTTTTCAGGCTCTTTGGCCGTGTTCTGAAGGTTGTTCTTCCTAATGTTTCACCAGTCTCTGTGGCCGGCATCTTCAGAGGACAGCACTCTGGGGAATTGATTCACCAAATGCCCACTGATTCAGTAGACCTACTCTTGTTGCTATATATTACTTGATTCCAGTCATAATGTTGCTCATTGTTTCTCAGCAGCTGGTTTGCTGTTATTATTCAAGGAATTTGTTACATTGTGTAATATTAAATTGTGTTGTCATCATTAATGGGCTGAAAAATACAGGAAAATACAGTTCCTTCTAACAAACAGTTCTGATACTGCACTTTGAAAATATTTATACAAACAATACTTCTGTTGTCATTTAGGATTGATAAGAGAATGTCATGACATCTGAAAACAAAACCGACCAAAGTTACTCTAAAACTGCCTTAAAATACCTTTAAGACTAGTTTTTGCGTTTTTTGGTAGTAACTAGCTGTTAATGGTTACACCTATTTGAGTAAGATAGTAACTTACCAAAAAGTACTTGCTACTTACTAACTTACAACTAGTTACCGGTAATAAGTAGCTAGTTATTTCTAACCTCTAGTTCTCAGATGTGTGAAAACATTCTTGCTGAACACAGTACTAACAAAAACAACAAAATACAAAGCTTGTGATATTAATACTGTTGATCATCTTTATTTCAACAAACATTTGAAAAGTGTCTCTCAAATGATGCAGTAAGTTGGGGTCATCCACTATCCCAGCTGTCTTGAGTGATTAAAGTGTGTGTTGAAGTAAGCATCTGAGCAAAAGTTCAAACTGGCAAATTGGGAACAATCCTGCAACATAAAAATAGGCTGGTGAACGTTATAAGCCCTATATCCCCTCAATTTGTACTTACTAGGTTTTTTTTAAAAAAAGAAAATACAATGAATGTCTTAACTGTGCACCCATGCTTGACATGTGACCAAGAAAACAAGCATAAACATATTAATTAGTCACAATTTGCCATTGTGAATTACACCCTTTCTCTTCTGCTGGCCTAACTGCACCACAGGAGTTTGGCCATTATATTGCAGTAAAGCACAATTACTACTCCACTTAGACACTTGGGAGATCACTTGTTTTGAATATCCTTCCAAGTTAACTTCTACAAATGAAAAAGGTTTATATTCAGCAGAAGTAGCAGAGAGATCACTCAGCTGAGACTTCCTACATCAGCAGTTGGAGAAGAATTTTCTTGATTTCCATTTCAACTCGGCAGTTCGAAGATTCATTCAACACACTATATTTGAAAGAAACCCATCTTTTTTAAAATTAAATATTGCCAGCATAAAATTATTCTTTTATATGCAAACGTATCAGCCACATATCATACAGCTGTCATATAGACAGTACCATGAGTACTTCCAGAAATCTGGATTATCTTCATATTACATGTGTACTTTTTGAGGTATGGACTTCTCCGAATACAAAATTTCCCAGCGACTTGCGGCCGGAGAATCGACCTACGGACCAGAAGGGGGAAGCGGGGAAAGCGCCAAATTCAAATTTGGTGCTTTCTTTGCCTCCTCCTTCCAGTCCATAGGCTGCCAGTCATGCTTCCGGATGCCTTCCAGGGCTTCTCCGCTGCCATGGGAGGCATCTCGGAGGTCGCCCCACCACTGATCATGCTTCAGAGGCATGATTGGCAGTGGGGGGGACCTCCAAGAGGCCTCCCATGGTGGTGAAGAAGCCCTGGAAAGCGTCCGGAGGCAAATCCGCGGCCTACGGACTGGAAGGCCCCACTGCTGATCATGCTTCAGAGGCACGATTGGCAGTGGGGGGGCGACCTCCAAGAGGCCTCCCATGGTGGTGAAGAAGCCCTGGAAGGCATCCAGAGGTCCCCCTCGTCACCGATCGTGCCTCCAGAGCTTCTCCGAAGGCATGATCGGTGGTGAGGGGGACTTCCGGAGGCCTTCCAGGGCTTCTCTGCTGCCATGGAAGGCCTCTCAGAGATTCCCCCACCCCTGCCAATGCAGGCTTTCCCAGGGTGGACCAGGCCTACCCTGGTAGGCCCGGTCTGCTGCCCGGGAAAGCCTGGTAGACTGGGCCTACCAGGGGAGGGCTTCCCCTGATAGGCCCATGGGAGTAGACCAGGCCTACCGGGGAAAGCCCTGTAGTAGGCCCAGTCTACTGCCCGGGAGAGCATGGTAGATTGGGCCTACTACAGGAGGGCTTTCCCCGGTAGGCCCGATCCACCCTGGGAAAGTCTGAGTCAATGGGGGACCTCCGAAAGGCCTCCGGCAGTGGCAGGGAAGCCCTCAGAGGCCTTGGGCAGCGGCGATGGTGGCAGGATGGGACCCCTGGAAGGCTTTGGACAGGTAAGGTCTATTTACATATTTTAAAAACATAGTTATGTATTTTCGATTTGTGTGTGTGGGGTTATTGGGCCAGTTACGGATTACAGGGTTTTCAATGCATTCCTATGGAAAATGGACCCTTGACCCACGGATTTTTTGACCTGCAGCTAGGGCACGGATTTTTTGACCTGCGGCCAACATTCCAATACAGATTAATTCCATAGGTTGAGGGTCCACTGTACAAAGTAGAGGGGAAAGGGCACAGTTATTAGGCAGGGTGCCCCACCAGTGTTGAAGTCCAAAATAAACCTCTACACTTGGCAGATGGTTACATACCTTACCGTCTCATCTCAATGCAACGAGGGTACAACAGTTGCCCATGCTGACACTGTACTCTGAAATCAGATAGTGAACTTGATGGTGGACTCATATAATATGCTTTGCACACAAATTCAACAAATTCTCCATGTAGAAAATAAGGTCGGTTGTCAAAGCTCCATTTCAGGTTCAAATTATTGTTTGCCATCTCTGCTTGTGATAATGTACATGGCTCTTCAAAAACAAACAAAGTGTTAATGGTCATGTGACCATGCCGCGTAATATACTAGGAGGTCAGCAAACCTCTATAATGCTAATATTTATACAGTACCTCATCTGTTTAAGAACAAACATAATTAATGAACTATAGCAACATGCATTGAGGCTGTCAATCACTGATAGCATTTCGATGCTTTAAAAAGCAGTTGATTGCAAAAATAGTTATAATGCATTATTATACAATATTACATTATGTTTTAAAACCTGGACACTAGCGAAGCATTGTTGTTAAAAGCATAAAACATTAATTGGGTGTTCACTTCTAATTAATTAGATGGAATTTTAAGTATCAGAAGGGGCATTTTAGTTCCCCAGAACCATGTTTTGCTGCAAAATTAATATAAAATCAGACTTGCAAGGTATGCATTTTGCAACATTGTCACCTGAAGAGTTTCAAACTGTGTTTAGATAGGAAGTCTTCCTTGTGATGTCACTGAGTTCCAGCCACTTATCTTGTAAAATTCTGTTTTTTCACATCATCCTAACAATTCTATTTCTTTTTTGCCCCATCATCATACTGTATTAGGAAAAAAGAAGTCCCATGCCATTTTTTTGTCAAAGAATGAACTATAGTGAGATACTCTAGTTGTCACAATTTTGCTTCATTCAGGAGAACGGTGTCCTGGGATTCTCAGTTTACACATTTAAAAGAGATGCAGAACTAAATTGAACCATGAGCCTATTTCTAACTCTCATCACTAGAGGGAGGATTTCTAGGACATTTCACATCTTCTCCGCAACCTATCTTTGAACCCATAACCAAGCCCAAGCATGTTTATGAGAAACCTGGCCTTTCTCACCAGATTCCTCATAAATATGTTCAAACCCACCCATAAGCTCAAACACAGGTTGCAGGGGGAAAATGACATGTTATAGAAATCCTACCCCTACTCAACTCATTGGGATTATGGGTTAGAAAATGACCCAGAACTCAGTGTGGGTAGGGTGGGTGCTGCTGTCCATGTTTATAAGAGTAAAATGAGCTTATATAAATTTAATTATCATTCATATTGCCATGCTCATTCAAATTTTGTAGGCCTTAACATGAACACCTAGCTGCTTCTTTTAAAAAATCACAATCTGTTTTCTCAAACAGAGAGCACACAGGAAACTGTTTTATAACGAGTAAAGCACACCAATGGTCTATGTAACTTAGTGTCACCTATCTTGACTAGCAATGATTTTGCAGATTTTAGATTGGAAGCTTTCCTTGCTACAGGCATACCTAGGAATAAGCCTAGGACCTTCCATGTGCAACTTTTATATGTTCTACCACTACAACTGCAGTTTTTCCTTCATATTGGAATACCACTTAAAGCTACCTGTTTATCCCAGATTTCACTGCTTGAAAGACACAAGATTGTAGCCAATGAACCTGGTTAAACTGCAAACTATCTTGTTACATCCATAAACTAGCAACTTTATACAATACCTATGCATACTGGAGGAGTGGTCCAGTGACCTCTTGAGCAGGATACAGTTCTAGAGCCTTGCAAATAATGATATTCTTGGCAACTGTACTCTACAATTGAACCCTGGGCATAGTCTGCTGTCAAAGAGCCCATAATATTGCCATTTTCTACGGAAGGTGGAGAGCCACAGTTTTCATTTGGGTCTAAAACTAAAAAAAAATACATTAAAAGGAAGTGAATGAATGTCATCTTAAGAAAGTCAATTGCAAATAGCAGCTTCAGCTATGAGTGAATAAAAATGGGAATGGGTGCATGTTGTGAGGGAGGCAAGAGGAAAGCCAAACTACTCTCCCAACCCTTGGTTTGATCATTTGTGGGTATACAATGCAAAACGGAGGAAAAATATTCACCTATTCAGAATGAGAAATGAACCCTCAGTCTGATTCAGCTTTAGGACGACATCCCATATATAGATTTGATATAATCGTATTGAGTAAAATTATTCCAGAAATAACCTCTGCCTTTTTTTAAGTTAAGCAAAGGAAAAAAGATAGCACCTGACATACAGAAGGGGTAGAAACAGGTATGACTAACACACTGCATATAAGAGTTTAGGTTTGTCAAGTCTGAAGTAGACACAATAAGAGTTTTACAGAGCAAACAAGCCCCTTCCTGAAGAAACCTCTCACAATATTACCTTTTGAAATACATGTAGGATATTTCAGTTCTCCGTCATTACACTGCACCAGCAGCTGGGATTCTTTGACAGATGGTGGCAAAACATACCCAGGCTTACACACGACTTCTATAATGTCACCGTGTAACAAATACGCATCTTCTTCCAGCCTCCATTTCATTTCTAAATTGTGATGTTCAGCGTTTTCTTCATTAACCAAGCATGGTTCTACAAAGCAAAGACCAGTATGGACATGGCACATAAAATACAGATCAAGACGTGATTATTAGTCAGTCATCATCTGTGTCTTCTCATGCCATCCCGTGAGCATAAGTTGCTCTGCATTGCACAGCAGCAATCTGCAAATTCTGGAACGGCAAGGTGAAGATCTCATTGAGTGCTATGCTGGTAGGGTGTTATGCTCCGTGATCCCTAACAGAATACCGGCCATAGTGTTTGTTGAATAAGTTTATGCCAGATAAAACTTGTTAAGGTGTCAACATATCTCTGCTGTTTGTGCACCAATACTACTCTAGTAACCAAAATTATAACTGTAACAGGCAGCCCTGACCTTATCTGTCCGTCACAATTGGGCAGTGAATCATCCTACTCTGGTAACCAAAATTATAACATACTGGGGATGTAAGGGAATATAATGCAAGGGAATGAATGGCCTATGGAGCATGAATTTTTCAGCTTAATATTTATGAATGGGCCTAGTGAGAGTCTGTGAGTATCCTACCATGGGATTAGCCCTGGGAGGTAATCCAGCTCCTGGAAGGGAAGCCAGCCCATTGTCTCTGACAATGGCAGCAGTCATAGAGGTGGCAGCAGCAGCAAGACCAAGCAGGGAGGCAACAGAGACAGTGGGAAGGGGGTGGGCGAGCATCCATCGATTTTGCCAAAGCAAAATGAAGCCCAGAGGGGGAAAAAGTTTGGTGCTTCATTTTGCTTTGGCAAACCAGGATGCCTAAACTGGATCATGAATCAGCCCGATTCATCTGTTTTTCTGTTCATGCCCATCTCTACTTGTGGATGAGCATTCAAGAGGCAGAAACCTCAAGAAATTATTCAGTTATTAGGCCAGAAACCTTTGCTATCCCCATCTCTACTTGTGTATGAGCATTCAAGAGGCAGAAACCTCAAGAAATTATTCAATTATTAAGCCAGAAACCGTTGCTATCACCCAGAGTTTTTCAATACAATCTGCCTTCAAAATTTCCATAAATTTCCATAAAGCATTGTTCTATGAAATCCTGGTACCTGACTACCAGGTACCAGGATGGGTCCATGCTTAAATGGGTGTACTCACCCATAATTAAGCCAAGGAAGTACAAGTAGACATCTTGCACCAGACACAACAAGAAGCTCTGTGGCATCTTAAAGACTAGCAGGTATATATTGCATAAGCTTTCATGGCCTATTCCCTCATATGCAACAGTCTAAAAATTTATGGTATATAAAATTTGTTAAGGTGTCAACATGTCTCTGCTGTTACAACAAGAAGCTCTTATGGCATATAAATTTTGTTAAGGTGTCAACATGTCTCTGCTGTTTGTGCGACGATGAGATACAGACTAATACACCCATCTCTATTGTTTTCAGTAAAATATGGGTACTGTTTGCTTTAATCGAGGCTCACTATTAGTAATAATTAGTACTAGATTTAATGGACCAGTTGGGCCCTCCTTTTTCTACGTGGTAATTTAAATTATTGTTTCTCTTTTAAGACTCACCTAAACAAACTGGCGGTTCTGTCCATCTTCCTTGGAGACAATGAACTTGATTATGTCCTTTCATCATACTGAACTGGAGACATCTGTATTCCACAAAAGAACCGGCTTGGTAGCTTGTTTCTGGTGGACCAAATGTATTAATTATAACACCATTTTTAACTGCAGGAGGGGAAAGGCAGTATCCAATAGTTTCAATGTCGTGATGACCATCTTTGGTCACTGCCCTGACCGTCTCTGAGAAAGAAACAGAACACAAATCAACCATTATTCTATTTATAGCATTTTACCTAATAAGCATGCAAATGGCATTCTTGGCCTTAATTTTCTTTTGCATCTTTATAAACTCAACCCTGCTTTATCTTCATGAATGTTTGCTTGCTTTATTTTATTTTATTTACTCAATGCAGCTCATATCATTGAAAGACAGTATTTAAATCTAACAATAAGTATACAAATATTAAATTATGATTAAGTCATATGAGATTATTGGGAGATGCCTGGGATAATTCAGAATTAATGAAGTTCCTGGATGCAGATGATACCAGTCAAGCTCTTCCTTCCTCTCTATTCCAGACAAGATATCTTTCCCTTGTTTAGGAAAGAAAGTTGTTTGGGAGTTATGAACTTTGCAGACTTCTTTATCTCAAGTGAGCAACTTACTGGGATTTTGCGGGGGCAAAATTGGGCCCCCAGAATTCATTTAGAGCGGCATTGCCACCAATGTTGCCATCGCTGCTGAAATTTCTTAATAGCTGTTGAGAGTAGCATTTTTGGTGCAGAATAAAGAGATGGGTATCTATAGCAACATGGTTCTGCTGGTAATGACCAGCTGCTTCAGAAGCAGGGTAAATGCCACACAAAAGAACAGCAATTTTAGACTTTTTTTAAAAATTGGACAGCCATGCTGCTGCTGATTTGTGGTGGTGACAGCCAACAAGCAGGCTCGTAGAGGCTTCATATTGCCTACCTCTGCTTTACGTGAAAAGAGGTGACTTGCCTTTCTTGGGCTAATAAGCAGATCAAAGTGGCTCTTGGCTTTTAAAAGGTATCAAAACCTGCACTGAAACTCAGATGCAGGCAGAAAATGAAGACTTAAATATCTTTTAAATGAGGTCCCACAACAGAAGTGTTAAAAATCTGATGTCCTACCAGACAACTGGCCAACACATGTGGGAGGTGAAGTCCACTTGCCATCCTTACACTGCACCTCTTCAGCTCCTCTGATCTGAAAAGGGGGGTCGCACTCCAAACGCAATCTGTCTCCATGGCGGAATGTTCTCAAATGGGTTAGCAGTTTAGTGTTGGGAGGCTGAGGAGGAGGAGGACATTTGTTTCTTACTTCTAGGAAAAAGAAGAAGAAAAGACATCATCATCATTGCCGCTGATCACTTAAAGCTGTGGCCCATTCGGTTCTATTCTATGCTGTTCCAAAGGTCTGTTTGACTCCAAGGAACAGCTTGGAGGAAGGCATAACACACAGGGTGTGTTGTGTGAGGAAGCCAGAAAAATCCTGTTGCATGAACGGAGTTCTGAGCATTCTTCTCTGGATCCAATCCAACAATTCTAAAGGTTTGTGACTTAATAAAAATCAACAACAGTACTTTCCAGATCACTATTCCAAACAGCAGAAATTAAAAGCCAGCAGTTTTAAAAGGGAGAAGAAAATGCCTCCAAAAAGACTGGGTATTACAGACAGACTTTTTTCCTGAGTTGCGTATTTGTCCTTCCCACTTCTTTCTGCAATGAACACAACATAAATCACATGATCTGTTGGAAACAGATGGAAACAAAGGTTTTAAAAACAATTTCTTTTATTTATTTATTTATTTATTCAACACAACATAAATCACATGATCTGTTGTATAGGTGTTTATGTGGAAACAAAGGATTTAAAAACAAATTATTTTATTTATTTATTTGATTTATATACCTCCCATCTGGCAGCCAAGGCCACTCTAGGCAGTTTACAAGTAGAACAACACAGTAACAAAATAAAACAACATCAATACATTAGCAGAGCAACACAGTAACAAAATAAAACAACATCAATACATTAGGGGACGCAAACCATAAAATGCAGTGAAAACAGATATACAATACAATAAATTACAATTAAAAGCAGGGGATGCAAACCATAAAATGCAGTGAAAACAGAGATACAATACAATAAATTACAATTAAAAGCATGAAACCCATAAAAATACTAAGCATGGTGATGTTACGCTTGTTATATCATCAAACAAGTTTGATGGAGAGGTTTAGGGGCTGATGGAGATAGCCGAAATACCCCATCCATATTACCTTCGCATATTGGAGGCTCTGGGTACCAGCCAAAGGAGTAGCACTGAACTAATTCTGCTCCTTTCAAGGTATAACCTTCTGAACAGACAAACTGAACCACATCTCCTTCATCATAGCTTCCCTTCCTGGGATGAACACCTCCATGTTCTACAGGACTTAGTGACGAACACTGCAGCCCTGAAACAGAATATAACAAATCACAAGAAAGAACAAATTGTTCCATTTGCTACTTTGTAAACATCAGGTGCTTGCACTCTTTGCGCCAAACGAAATAGAAGCTGATCAAAACAGAGTTCAACTAGCCGAAAGGGCAAATTTCTAAATTCACCTACTAGTACATTTGGGAAGAAGGGACCAGCCTTGAGGACCACACAGGACTACTGCTGTTGTGTTGCCGCCTGCCGTAAAATAGCCATCATCGCAGCTGTATCTGAGTTTCTCATTCAGGCTGAACTCTCTCTGGGATGTATGATAGTGCCCATGGAGTAGCTCTGGTGCTGAACAAGTCTCTTTAAAACAAGAAATTATTGAATGTCTTCTCATGCAAGGGCAGAAATGAGCTGATATTGAAAGGAAGAGCAAGAGAGCGGAAGAATAACAAACAGTTTCAAATATAAGGAGGCAATGGGGGCTGTCTAGTTTTTACTGTTCAGAGAGGACCTACGTAAGTGATCTGGAAGCAAAGTAAAATATGGAACTGCTGAGAGAGGATGCAGGCGAACAAGGCAGGTATTCCACTATTAGACAATTTCCATCTGATGTGCATTTTTAAGTGAACTAACCTAATGTATTTTTCATACATGTCATTCTCAGTTCAAAAAGTACCTAGGAAAATGTGCATATTGAAGAAAGCTGCTGTTCAACAATAAATCCAAAGTTTCATACCTCTCATAAAATCCACACTGACGCAGGTATTGAGTGGAGTGGACTTTTTGAATGAATGCAAGTAAAAGTGACTTAGGCAAGGATTACAAACATTTGACTGTCCATAAAAATGAGTTTGTGTGCTAATATACTATTATTTTAAAAATAAATAAATCTTGAGATGGTCGGAAATACAGCTGCCCTCATGGGCCTATTATATCAATCATTTAAAGATGTTTGGACTAGAAAGATTTTGCTTTTATGCCCCAAATAAACAAACTCTCTACATTCAGCAACCACTATCCATCATATATTGTACTTCACTTTTCTGGCCTCTTGCTGAAGTGCAACAAATCCTAGCTCAGCAGCCCCCTCCTGTGGCAAAACCGGCACAGCGGCACAGGCTAAAGAAGCAGGCTTACTTAAATGAAGGTCTGGCCTAATCAGAATTCCACAAGTCAGACTAAGACCCATTCATTTACAAAGTAAAACAGCCTGTTGTTTTTCACGAACTTCCACCTCTTAAAAATTACTTTTAATTATATGTTAAAATGTAGTGTATATTAGACCCCTCCAACACAAAACAATCTAACTAGAGGTTCCACTAAGTTCAATGGGATTTGCTACTGGGGCCTTAGTCTAGCAGTGCCATCCTATACATGCTTACCGAGAAGGAAATCTTAAGGCTGAAACCTCATGCCTAGTTACAAGAGTCTTGTGGTTAAACTGCTGTATTGCAGCCAAAACTGTGCTCACAACCTGGGGTTCAATCCCAGGTAGCGGCTCAAGGTTGACTCAGCCTTCTATCCTTCCAAGGTTGGTAAAATGAGTACCCAGCTTGCTGGGGGGGGGGGGCAATGTGTAGCCTGTGTAATTAACTTGTAAACTGCCCAGAGAGTGCTTGAAGCACTATGGGGTGGTATATAAGCAGCACGCTTTGCTTTGCTTTGGGAGTAAGTCTCACTGAACTCAATAGAACCTACTTCTGAATAAGCATATTTAGTATTGTTCTAGTAGTGTCATTTCCAGTATACATATATTGGCAAGTACCCGTCAAAGAGGATAAAAATAAGTATCATTAGTCTGCCTTCTCTGTACTAGTGCAAAAACAAAATTTGGCATGAATATGAAATTTGGACCTGAAATTCCAAGAGCTGTAACAGCTAGATTTTCAACCTTTCAGTTTTGAAACAATTTTGATAATATTTCATACAATTCCTTGGAAAGTTTCTCAGCAATGATAGTTGACTACTAACTTAGGGAAGTCTGCATGTTGCAGCTTTCAAAAAACATATTCATATTTAATTATGATGTTGTAAGCATGGACAGTGAAAAAGATTGCTTTTATCCCCCCCACCCACGCCCTGGCAAGAAAATTCAGCAGTTAAGAGATGTTCTTGAACATTCTATCTTGAGAATCCTTGTTTCTCAGACTTCCCTCCTCCTCATTTACATAATCTCACATCCACTAGAAATATCCTTAGTGAAACCATCTCTCTTTGAAAGAAAAATTCACTGCAGGACCACTAAATACCTTGTAAGTCCCCCATCACGAGTAACCTCAAATTTTATGAATTGTTCCAGGATGGGGAGATTATCAAAAGCCATACCAGTTGTTTCGATACACTGTGGCTGGGCGGACCATCCATTTTGAAGACACTGCACCGTTTTCTCTTTGGTGCCTTCAGGAGTCTGGTAGCCTGAATTGCAAGCATAGTGCAGCCTCTCCCACATTTTGTAGGACAGTTTCATATCAGAGAAAACTCCATTATCCAAGGCTGGTTTGGTACATTTCCCTAAATATTTGTGCATTGAATTAAAAATATAGAGAAAATATTACATTATTCCTTTATCAACATAACTGTTCTCTCCCATGACATATTGATGGAAGTGACAAGACTGCCACACAGTCCAATATCTTGACTGAAGGAAGCACAGTACCACGTAAGTATCTTGATAAACTATGGTAATGACACCATAAGTGGAGTGTGTGGAATAACAAGATCTATAATCCTAGATATAGAGGGAGATAACAGGTCGCTTAGGAAAACATGATTACATGTAATGTCACCTCATATATAATACTGCATGAATTTCACAGACACTTTCATTTTCATTTCTTACCATATTTTTCCATTTATAAGATGACCCAATGTATAAGACCCCCCTTTTTTCTAACCCCAAATTAGAAAATTTGATCCCTCCTTTTCCCTTCCTTTTGTTGAACCATGGAGCTTAGCAAAAGGAAGGGGAAAGCAGGGATCAAAGGGGTCCCTTTGACTGCTGCTTTTCCTTGCCTTTTGTGAAGCCACAAGGCTTAGCAAAAAGAAGACTTCCCTTCCTTTATGCTAAGCCCCATGGCTTCACAAAAGGCAAGGAAAAGCAGCAGCCACTTTCACAGTGGGACTTAGGAAGTGGGTAAAGCAGCCATGAAAGGGCTTCAGGATCAAAGGGCTGCAGTCATGCAGCCCTTTCATTGCTGCTTTACCTGAAGGGAGCCTTCCCTTCCTTTTTGCTAAGCTCCATGACTTCACAAAAGGCAGGGAAAAGCAGCTGCCTTCCATGTATAAAATGACCCTCAATTTTTGTCTTAATTGTTTAAGTAAAAGCTGTTATTTTATACACTGAAAAATACGGTACTTACTTACTTATAATCGAAGAAGTCCATTGACAGCGGTGTGGACAGTCTCTTTTCACTGAGTCTTCATGCATTTACCAAAGCAAACCCAGAACCTTGTACATGAAGCTTTTGTGCAGTGGCTGCTGTGCATGCAGAAATTATATTCAGCATAACACTTATCTACTATTCTGTATTTATGTAACTGGATCCTATGGCCTCTGATTTTGAAACTTGATCTGACTTTTGAAATAATACAATTCGTTAAATTTATTTTCTAAGTCCTGGGAAAACTTTAATTGCCCAATCATTTGGAATAAAAGTCTTCCATGGATTTTTGTCATATACAGCCTCCATACTGTATGTATTTAATATAAAATAGATTTATAGTGCAATCCCTATCAATTGAAGAAGGTTGCCTATAATTGTTTCTCTTCCTACATAGTTCCACATCCTAGAAGCTCTTAGTTTAGGAAAGACAATGAAGGGGACTTACTGAAACATTTGGGGGCTGGCACCCAGCCTCTCGTTGTGCAATTTATCCTTGCCTCTTGCCTCCCACTTTCCGTCGTATAACCAGGGAAACAAGAATAAGAAAGCTTCTCACCTTCCTTCATTGGAAAGTAGTGGTCTTTAAAACTATAGTAATATGAGGCAATTTTTCCATTTTCAATGCTGGGAAAGTCACAGAACTCGCCTAGAAAAAAAAATAGAATAAGATTCAGTGGGAAATATCCAGTATATAAATGCACTATAAGAAACAAGCTAAATGGAATTCAAGCAGGTGGAAAAACAGCAACATGACACTTTACTAAAAAATTGCAGATATTTTCTTCTTGTGCATGACAGGGAAGCCCACCCGTTCCCATCACTGTTAACATTCCATCATCTGCTGAATGGGTACCTATTTCAGGTACCTGTGTTTGCAGAGGACATCAGTTAAGACTATAAAACTAACCTTGTGTCTGCTAGGAGCTGGGGCTCTACATACCCAGAGACTATAGAAGAAAAATTGGGTAAGGGTCTTTGTGGAAGCAATTGATCTTGCTTCCTTACAAAGGCATTGTGCTGGGTAATATGCTGGTCATATCCACACGTGATTCAGATAATGAATCTATACCTGGTAAATAAATTTTAAAATGCTGTTAACTTTGGTTGGTGCATAAATCAAGCTGCACAAAAGTCACCTCAAATCAATCAGATGAACCAGGTAACATCTGCAAGACACTTACTTCTGAGGAAGTGGACTTGTCCACAAAAGCTCACATTAAAATATAGCATTTCATCTTTAAGGTGCCATAATGTTTTGTCTGCTTTATTTTGTATTTTGCTTTTGTTTTTCCCTTACATATATGAACATGGAACTGGAGAGTGTCAGTGAAGGAAAATGCAGAATACCTCTCCTGGCCCATGTGAAAAGGAACATGCAGAAGCCTGATGTGTTCTTCTATGGTTCCCAAGCCAAACAAACAGTGACAATACAGCACGCAGCAAAAGGATCCTTAGTTTTTAAATTTATTAAAAAAACAACAGCCAAATTGCCTGCTTTATAACAGGCTTGTCCAACCTGTGGCCTGAGGGCCGCATGCAGCCCAGGTCAGCTCGTAATGCGGCCCAGTGCAATTTTTTATTTTTAAAGAAATTCCAAAGTTTCAAGTTACACTGCCGGCGCTTGCGGCCGGAATGTGGCCGGGGCATGTCACAACAGTAGAGGGGGAGAGAGGGAAGGAAGGAAGGAGTGGGAGGGGAGGGGACAGGGGGGCTGCATGACTGCATTATGCCATCCCCGTCAATAGGTGGACCCCCTCCTGGCCCCATAAAGCCGCCGGAATCGAAGCTGGCAGCCTCTGCTGTCTGAGATCGCAGCTGCCGGTAAACGCGCTTGGAGTGGGGCTGCGGAGGACGGCTAGGGCTGCCCCCCATGCGGCCCAAACCAAATGTAAATGCGGCCCAAATGAACTTCTCATCTTTTAATGTGGCCCAGGGAAGGTGAAAGGTTGGACATCCCTGCTTTATAATGTATGCTTCAATTTGGCTGCAGTGATTTCCCACCAGTATCTTCCCATCTTTACCATATCCAGTCTCATCTGATTTCAGAAGCTAAGCAGGACTGAACCTGGTACAGGGATGCAAGATGCTCTAGTGGGAAGGGGCTGAACCTCAGTGGCAGAGCACATGTTTTGCGTGCAAAAGAACCTAGGTTCAATTTCCATCATGTCCTTACAGGGATGGGTAGAATTTCTGCCTGAAGTCTCAGAATGCCACTGCCAGCCAGAGTTGGTGATACTGGATTAGAACAGTCCAAGACAGCTTAAAACTACCTCGTTGAGTCAAACATGTCTGAGAAAGCTCCTTAGGTCCCTGAGAAATGTGTAGATTCCTTTATTTATATGCATTGGAATTGAAGCTTTCACCACTTCCACGCCAGATTTAAAAACAAACCCTTTAGTAACACTGTATCTGTGAAGATCCTCAGTCATCCTGGTGAGGTTATCTGGAAGTTGAGTCATGGCAACTGGACTTCTTTCTTATTAGGCTACAGTCGTAAGTAACACTGTTTTGTTAAATCTTACATATCAAGGTTTTGTAAATAAATTCCCTGGGCAGAGGGGGTGAAAGAATTTGACTGCTTGCTAAGTCAGCCAGAAGAGGAAAATGGGAAACAGACTTCTAGAAAAGCTATCTTTGCTGCAGAACAGGAACACACTAGGTAGAAATTGTTTCTTATGGAATATTTACAATCTTGCACTCAGTTAAAAATGCAGAGTTGAATAATGAAATATATGAAATCATATATTGTTTCTAAGTACTCCAGAAAAGTAAATATTGAAAAGGAAAAGGCCTCTGATAAATGTGCTAACCACGCATGGGTTGCTATTTTCAAAGAGCTCCACGTTTTTGTATTTCATATGTAAAAGTCACTTAAACCTAGGGGTTTTTTTCACTGTACCCAGGTGAGTGGCATGTGATTTGGTCTGTAAGGGCTGAACAAGTACGGTTAAAACAAGCTTACTAAAATATTCGTATCTAAAACAACCATTTTGTGCAAATGAAGTGAGAATGCGCATTATAGAAGGCACAGGCTTTTAGCATACAGAACAACAAAATCAGTAAGTTTACCTTCAGCAAGAAATTTCCCTGATGCAGCCAATATCAATTGGAAAATCCAGGTTTTATATTCCATTCTGAGTGCTTTTGTATTACCTTAGCTCTACTGATTTACTGTGCTTCTGAACAAAAAACCCCCTCAGTTAATCATTTATAGGGGCAAGTGCAATTGTTGTTTTCCATAGTATTAAAGTTTACTCCTTAAACAGGTTTGTGTGCATTAAAGAAAAAAAGAAAGACGATTTCAGGGTTATTACCCATGAGCATGTATTAGATAGGCAGAATAAATCAACTTTAAGTACCCTTACATTCTCAGTTGGCAATTTCTACATGCTAAGGCATGTAAAGTGTAATCTTAAAGTTTTGGAATTATCAGTCTTGCAGTATGGAATGATCAATCAAACCTTCTGGTTTGTTTGAATAGATATCCCTGTGATACGTATTTTTTTTTTAAAAAAAGGTTAATTTCATTAATTAAAATTTTAGGTAGCAGATTCTATACTACAGTTCATGGCCAGCTACTGGTTTTGTTGATCATCTGTCAAATATTTAACTCTGTTCCATTTCCTTTCAGCTGTCATTTCCTTTGTGAGACCTTCCCTATCAAAAGGAGGATGAGGGGGGATCCTTTGCAAACTTTTCTTTCTGAGGTAGTTGCCACACTTTCTCAGGACTTTTCAACCAGATTTCTATTTATCAAAAGAGTGGAAGGGATTTGTCTCTTACTATCATATTAAGTGAAATCTCTTTCCACTGTAATTCTTGGTGGTATTCCTACTTGACCAGTGCAGCAGTTTGCTCAGAAGTTAGTACACCTTAGCCAAAGTACCAGAAACATGAGTGGTTGATATACTGTAGTACTCTTTCTATCTACGAACGGGGAATCTTTGGTCCTCCAAATATTTGAGTAGGCAATGATAAGGAATTGCGAGAAATTATCTGAAATATCCGAAGGGCTAAAATTTGCCCAGGTCGATTCTAGATCAGAATGGGCAATTTAGAGTTCTCTAAGTGATAATTATAACAATAATTAAATGCCATCGAGTCAGTTCTGATTTATGGTAGCCCTTTGCAGGATTTTTTAGAATAGTCAGAAGTGGTTTTCTGTCATATTTGACTTATAATTCCCATCACTAGTGAGGTAATCAATTTTCAATATCTAGAGGCCCTTAAAAGTTGTCTATTCTCATTCCAGCTACTTGAATGTTACTGTAAGATTTCTGGGCAGGCAAAGATAGTGGAGCTTCAGGAGTTAAGCCAGGAGGATTTTTATTTGAACACAGGCAGTGTTAAATTAAGAAAATGCTTTTCTAGGGCATGAATGAAAAGCAACAAAGACAGAAATAGATTAAAACTCGTGAGCAAGAAGAGTATTCATTTTCTATCAAACTGCAGAGAATAAGGCAGACTCCTTACAAATAGAATCAGTTCTGAAAAGTAGGCTGACAATTACGTTTTTTGGCTGCCATAGCACTTTTACTGGGCTAGAACAAAAAGTGAACAGGCAAAAATTCAGGCACACAGGAGAGGGACTTGAAAAAAAGAGGGACTTGAAGAAAAAGTCTGCTAAAAGGACTGATGTCAAAAGTACAGTAACCTAGGAAGTTGAAGGCAATTAATTATACATATTTTTGGAAGAAGATTTAGGCTGCTCACCCAAAATGTTCCGTGAAGTTTAAAAAAAAAGCAGGGGAAGATGTAGACAAATACTTATAGGTAAGAAGATATTAGATAGAATGGTCACAAATAGTCAGGCTTGTCAATAAATGAAAGGACTGATTTAGGTACAGATTACTGGTTTAATTATGCCTTATTGCCCAGGAGCAATCAAGGATTAGAGAACTTGTTTCTTATATGCCACTGTGAGACCAGGGGTGAGAGACAGGAGACTCTCCCTGGAGTGCCATCCCTTCCACAAAACAGAAAGGGAGGTGCAGACCTCACCCACTCCAGCACCTAGAAGAACAGAGCAACGGGTTACTGACACCTGAGATCTGGAGAGGGAATTGTGCGGTTAACGGTGTCCATTCAAACCTATTCCATAATTATTACACAAACAGAACAGTTATACAATATTGCAAACTTTTATCCACCCATTAGCCATTCGGCCTTCAAGACAAGGCATCAGCAACCACATTATGGATCCCTTTGATTTTGCAAGACTTTGACTTTGAAATCCACAGCGTAAGTGTCCTTCTTGCTGCTATTGGATTTCATAGTTCATAGCC